CCTGTCATCCCCTGCCAGCACACCTGCCATCCCCTGCCAGCACACCAGCCATCCCCTGCCAGGACACCTGCCATCCCCTGCCAGCACACCTGCCATCCCCTGCCAGCACACCAGCCATCCCCTGCCACCTAAGTGAGAACTCACGAGCTGTTAAACAAGCATATCCCTTATCCGGGCGGCATGAGAACACGGTCACATTCCTCACACACTCACTCCCCGCATCCTCACACACTCACAATGTCTGCTCAGTCTCCACCCGGCCTTCCTGGCCTCATATCTTTGAATATGAGTTTAAATACACTCAAATATTCACTTCAACAAACCATTCAGTCAACATCCATTCCTTCGATATGACCCAACCTTCCGGACGTATTCCTTGATTGATTGATATGTGATCCCCACAGACTCCCGTTGTTGTTTTAGTTAGTTTATCTCCTTATAACTCTTGAATTTTTGGTCTTGAGCTGCATCAGCGCCTGGCAGCCATGCGTGAGTGTGGGGCACCAGCAGGCCTTCATGCTGACCTCCCGCTGCATCTCTGGCAGCCATGCGTGAGTGTGGGGCACCAGCAGGCCTTCATGCTGACCTCCCGCTGCATCTCTGGCAGCCATGCGTGAGTGTGGGGCACCAGCAGGCCTTCATGCTGACCTCCCGCTGCATCTCTGGCAGCCATGCGTGAGTGTGGGGCACCAGCAGGCCTTCATGCTGACCTCCCGCTGCATCTCTGGCAGCCATGCGTGAGTGTGGGGCACCAGCAGGCCTTCATGCTGACCTCCCGCTGCATCTCTTCCTGCATTATTCCTGAAACACTCAGACTCTCGTGGCACAGGTCCCTTGCGTTCACTGACTCCGTCATTCTCTTCTGAACACATTCTTCCTCCTGCCTGCTTCACAGGTCTTGCTTGACCTCACAGCTCATGCTTGACCTCACAGCTGATGCTTCACCTCACAGCTCATGCTTCACCTCAGAGCTCATGCTTCACCTCACAGCTCATGCTTCACCTCACAGCTCATGCTTCACCTCACAGCTCATGCTTCACCTCACAGCTCATGCTTCACCTCACAGCTCATGCTTCACCTCACAGCTCATGCTTCACCTCACGGCTGAGACGTGTCAGAGTAGAGTCAGCACTTCATATCAACACTTATATGGTCAGCACTTCATGTCTCCAAGTTGAAAGACCTCAAGGAATTCGTAAATTATCCCGTGTGGGCGAAGCAAGCCGGCGTCCCGTCCGCCAGGCTGCCTGTCTCTCATCATTCTGTCTACGTACAGACAGTCAGGCAAGAAGATAGACAGCCGTAAAACTGCCAGCAAGGTACTCATTTACCCATGAATACTCATCTATGCTCCTACCAATTCACCCACTTGCCTCGCTAGCGCCTCAGCCACGCCCGCTACTCATCCTCCCACCCACTCACCGACCCACTAACCTAGCCAGCCACCCAGACAGTGATCTAATTTTCCCGTCACTCTAGCACACTACTTAACCCCTCTCCTTAAACCATAACCCGACCGCCTCCTCCACACCAGACGAAAATATACCCTTTTGTGGCGGCCTTTCTTGTCACATAGAGATCAAGCGTTGCTCCTCTGGAGGGGAATTAATGGGTTAATAAAGCTGTTATGCTTCGCCCTTCTCGCCTCTCTTCCTCCCTTTCTCTTCGCGGTAGCGTCCTTCAGTATTTTCAGCAACATGCCTTGCTATCCCGTCCCTGCATTTACAACACACTGACACGTTCTTCCTGACGTCTCTCTGACGACTCGTCTCAAGTTCCAATGTCCATCGATAAAGACCTTTGTTCCACTGGATCCTGATATAAACATTTCTTTGTCTACTGTGCCAGTTACCAATCACTGATCAGTCATTACCAATCACTGATCAGTCAATGATTAATCTTCATCAATCAATCAATCCTGTTATGAACAGCTCCTCCTTACGGGCTATTCAATGCCCGTGCCACTTCTTGTGCGGCTTAATCTTCATCATTCATCAATCCTGTCTTGTATTGATTACGGGTTCACCATAGCCCGTGCTACATGGACATTTCGTTCTGAGTAGCTAAATCTAAACCAACAAAAACAACAACAACTGTCATCACGACCAAATTATTCACGATCAAAAATCATATTCACTCCAAAAATCTACCAGTTACGGACTATTCATGCCCGTGGCACCTTGTGGTGGCTTAATCTTCTCAATGAGCATCCTGGCTCCTCACTCGAGAATTCTGTGCTGCGTTTCACTTACGAGATGGAGAAGGATGGGAAGCTGCCCTTTCTAGATGTAACAGTCATGGAAAGGAGCAGAGTTTTCCACACTGCAGTCTACACTAAGGAAACAAACATAGGAATGTGCCTCAATGCCAACAGCGACTGCCCGGACAGGTACAAGAGGAGTGTCGTTAACGCTTATGTCGACCGTGCTCTCAGCCACAGCTCAGGATGGAAGCAAGTCGATGAAGAACTCTGTAGGGTAAGGCAGGTCCTAGTCAACAACGGCTTCTCCAATGGTTTCGTTGAAGACATCATAAGAAGGAAGGTGAAACGCCATGCAACCTCTGAAGAGACAACTAACACAACACCTATACCCCCTATTAGACTATTTTACAGGAACTTCTTTTCCACAGCTCATAAAACGGAGGAAAGGGTCCTGAAAGATATTGTTAATAGAAACGTTATCCCTACAGACAAAAATCAGAAGATACAATTGACGATTTACTATAAAACCAAGAAAACGGCCAACCTACTCATGAGAAACTCTCCAGACACAAAGCAGAACGCTTTAAAAGAGACCAATGTCGTCTATGCCTTCAAATGCCCACTTGGGGACTGTAAGCCTCAAAGAATTCAGTTTATAGGCAAGACAACAACATCTCTTTCCAGGCGATTAACGATGCATAAGCAACAGGGCTCCATTAAGGAACATATAATCTCTTCCCACAACCAGACCATCACCAGAGAAGTCTTAACAAAAAACACGGAAATCATCGATAGATACAGCAATAGCGGGCAGCTTGATATCTGCGAGGCACTACACATTAAGAAGTCGACACAAGCAATCAACAGCCAATTAATGCACAACTATATTCTACCCACTTCAAGACTCCGCACCAATATAGAAGCATCAAGAAATATGGGCCAATAGGCCCTTTGCAGTTACTTCCATTCTTCCCTTTAACTTAAAATAATATTATACCCATTGTTTCGTGTTCTGTCTTGTGTTGAAAGTTTGTTTTCACCTCATCCAAAACTGTTGTAACATATCACCTCACGCAATTGCAGGTATAAAACCAAAGCTGTTTAAACTCTGTTTAGCGTTTGCAAAGTTATAGTTGTGTGTGTGTGTAAACTAAAGTCTTTGAAAATGTAATAAGTTATTACGAAACGCGTTCAAGTGTCACGTCAGACTAGAAATAAAATTGAATTTTGGAGAATTGATTTTTCAATTACCATCAACTGTGAAAAAAAACATAAGAAATATTGAGAAAATTCGTGTTAGAATTATTAATCTTACTTTTTCGGTCATATTTATTAATAATATATATATATATATATATATATATATATATATATATATATATATATATATATATATATATATATATATATATATATATATATATCATGAGAGTCCACATGATAGAGCAGAAGTTTCCTCTCTGGACTAGGACTCTGAGACGCTTCGGCAGGAAATTTGGTGCTTCTGTGCCACTGGTTTCCCAATTGAGTAACTGAGCGACCTAGAGCCTCAGAGGATATTGGCACGCTCCTATAACAATTGTCCAAAGCCTGCATGCAACTGGTTTTCTGAAAGTCCCCTGAAGGTGGAAGGCCCACCACCATCATGTTCACTGTACCGTAGATAAGAACCAACCAGTGGAGATGTACGTGTGGAGCCCCAGAAAATATGTATACCCTCCCTCCAAGGTTGCAGAGTAACTCCATCTGGTCGCTTGGGACTGTTGTCAGGTCTGCACATCTGGGGACTCCCTTTGTGTGGGACACATGGCTGTAGTCATACTTAATGATGTCATTGACTGTTTCATATCTAACAATTTTTCCCTCTCAATTACGACAGATGAGAGCACGTTTGACGTACTGGCGTGCTCAAACACAGCCGCTCGTGCATCAGTGACCACAGGGACGGCAAGGCGCAGGCGAGCACTAGAGGCCCAATGGTGTAGGCACGGACATGGGCTGGTCGGGGTCGCCGCTAGTGAACCTATCTGTAGAAAATCGGTGAAAGATGGATGTCAGAGTCCCTAGAGTTCTTTACGGAGAGTGGGGCGGGGGGGGGGGAAGGGGAAAGACAAGCAGGCCTGGGCACCGCCGGGTACCTCTTCTAGTCTATACCTATAAGAGAGAGAGAGGTAGGTAGGTAGGTAGGAAGGTTCTTTGCGTGTGTCTTACTGCCAAAGGCTGGAGGCTAGACACTTGGGGTTAGCCTCACCCAACTTTGCAGGGTGACTGGGTGGGGTACAGGACGGACATAGGCTGATCAGAATCGGCTCTAGAGCCACATTTCAAGTTATATCGGCCTCTAACCCAACCCTCCCGCCAACTCTCATTTGCGATGGCCATGAAGTCTGATATGAATTCGCTGATGTGTTTCACCAAGTGTTGGAGCTACTCCCGCAGTTTACTCGCAAAGCTTCATGATTTACTCGAAAAATATTAATTTAATTCATTTGGGTTATACTGATGAAGATATTGAGTAGGGAAGATGATTACAATGATGAAGATAGTATGCAGTGAAAATGTAAGATAACAGGAGGGGGCAGGTCAGGGAAAGATAACGGTAGGGAGGAAGATAAGGGGACAGAAAGAACAAGGGGAAGATGAAGGAAGAGAAAAACAAGAGGGAGATGGGGGAGAGAATATGGGGTGATGAGGGGAGACTGATACGACGTTCTTTGCACTGTTTAGCGAAAATTATCCTTCCTATCATGTCTGTACTGTGCTGTACTGTATAACAGGTGTGTGTGTACTATTTACAGGTGTGGGGTGTGTCCGGAGAGTGTGGCTTCCTGACGGTGCGGAAGGAGCAGAGTGATGGTGATGATGATGGTGGTGATGGTGCATGCGGTCGTGGTGTCGATGGTGACTGCCTCTCTGGGTATGGTTAGTCTATATCCCTACTGTCTTGCATATTGTGAGCACATTACAGAAGGATAAACACTCGCTCTCTCTCTCTCTCTCTCTCTCTCTCTCTCTCTCTCTCTCTCTCTCTCTCTCTCTCTCTCTCTCTCTCTCTCTCTCTCTCTCTCTCTCTCTCTCTCTCTCTCTCTGTCTCTCTCTCTCTCTCTCTCTCTCTCTCTCTCTCTCTCTCTCTCTCTCTCTCTCTCTCTCTCTCTCTCTCTCTCTCTCTCTCTGAATCTGTGTAATGACTTATCATTGTTACGTAACATTTGCAGTAATAATATATGATTCTTGGTCAAAATAGAGGAGGCTACAGGTGCTAACGTTTTCTCTCAGCTCCAGATGAAAAGAAAACAAATTTCTGGGAGACTCACTTAGAGTGGCAGGTGTTGAGAGTTTATAAGCTTTAACTTATTGTTCATGCATGTAAATTCTAATATTAACGTATATTTACCAATTAAAGAATCAATATTTATATGTATGTGTAAATATATATAATACTTACAGGGTGGGATAATATAAAATACCAATATATTAAAGTGCTGGTTGTTGCTAGTTAAATTGTGGTAGCAGAATGTGGTGGCCTTGGTAGCTGTTGTAGTGGTGGTGGTAGGTGTGGTTGTGGTGGTGGTAGCTCTGGTGGTGGTGAACACCATCCTCTAATCGTTTAACAACCAGACACCCAATCACTGCTGGGTGAAGAGCGGTGTACAGTTGTGGACTAGAGCCTAGTCAATCTTCCTCGGCCAGGGTACGAACCTGGCTAAATTTCTCGCGAGTGTGTTACCGCTACGATACGGGGACTGGTGGTAGCTGTTTTGGTTGTTGTGGTGGTAGTGTTAGCTGTTTTGGGTGCTGAGATTGTGGTAGTTGTTTTGGTGGTAATGGTGGTAGCTGTTTAGGTTGAGTAATGACGGTGGTGGGACCTTCGAGGACAAGGTGATGAGTAGTTCACCACCACCACTGATGACCGTACCACTCGTGTGTGTGTGTGTGTGTGTGTGTGTGTGTGTGTGTGTGTGTGTGTGTGTGTGTGTGTGTGTGTGTGTGTGTGTGTGTGTGTGTGTGTGTGTGTGTGTGTGTGTGTGTGTGTGTGTGTGTGTGTGTGTGTGTGTGTGTGTGTGGTGGGGGGTCAGGGTTACGCCCTCCTCCCCTAAACAAATCAACCTAACACAAGTGTACCCTCCACCCACACTTCCCTGTTTGCATACCACCCGACGTCTGCCCCGCCCACCACCCGACGTCTGCCCCGCCCACCACCCGACCTCTGCCCCGCCCACCACCCGACCTCTGCCCCGCCCACCACCCGACCTCTACCCCGCCCACCACCCGACCTCTGCCCCGCCCACCACCCGACCTCTGGCCTGCCCACCACCCGATCTCTGCCCCGCCCACCACCCGATCTCTGCCCCGCCCACCACCCGATCTCTGCCCCGCCCACCACCCGATCTCTGCCCCGCCCACCACCACAATTACACGTGTGAAGGCTCAAGCTGTCACAACATAGCCTCATGCCCATGATGGTAATATTCATCCTCCGTGCTCATGATGATCGTATTACTATCCACCTCTTGATAGACGTCACCAGTTGCCAACATTGTCCCACACCGACATCTCTCTCTCTCTTATGTATTTTTTTTTGTCTCAGTATTCTTCTACATTCCTTCTTTAGCAATTTCCTTCCGCTTCCCACATCGTAACCTTTCCCACCAGGGCGCCGTCTCACCCCTCTGCTTCCATACACACAGTCGAGCAGACAGCGCTCTGAGGTCGTAGTTGAACGGGCCCAGGTTCGATTCACGGTCGTGGCAAAAACAAATGAGTAGAGTTTATATCACATGTTGCCTCCTTTCACCTAATGGTAAATAAATATCTGGGAGTTGTTACGGGTTGCATCCTGGAGATATGTGTGTGTGAGAGAAAAATGTATTACATATTTTAGGGTATTAAAAGTATGAACATAAGACAGAACACGAAACAATGAGTATAAATTGGATAAGTTTAGATTTAGGAAAGACCTGAGTAAATACTGGTTCGGTAACAGGGTTGTTGATTTGTGGAACCAATTACCGCGTTACGTGTTAGAGGTGGGGGTCCCTTGATTGTTTCAAGCGCGGGTTGGACATGTATATGAGTGGGATTGGGTGGTTATATATAGGAGCTGCCTCGTATGGGCCCAATAGATCTTCTGCAGTAACCTTTGTTCATATGTACTTATGTTGTTATGTTCCCTCCCACAGGAACGTTGGTGCGAGTACGACGGAAGGCCGCAGACCTGACGCAACTGTGGCCGGACGCCGTCGTCCCCTACACCTTCCTCACGCGTCAGTATCCCCTGTGTTGCTTCAGTGTGTTGCTGCAGTGTGTTGCTTCAGTGTGCTGCGGCAGTGTGTTGCTTCAGTGTGCTGCGGCAGTGTGTTGCTTCAGTGTGTTGCTTCAGTGTGTTGCTTCAGTGTGTTGCTGCAGTGTGTTGCTTCAGTGTGTTGCTGCAGTGTGTTGCTTCAGTGTGCTGCGGCAGTGTGTTGCTTCAGTGTGTTGCTTCAGTGTGTTGCTTCAGTGTGTTGCTGCAGTGTGTTGCTTCAGTGTGTTGCTGCAGTGTGTTGCTTCAGTGTGCTGCGGCAGTGTGTTGCTTCAGTGTGTTGCTTCAGTGTGCTGCGGCAGTGTGTTGCTTCAGTGTGTTGCTTCAGTGTGTTGCTTCAGTGTGTTGCTTCAGTGTGTTGCTGCAGTGTGTTGCTTCACTCACTCAGCCTTTTTATTGTTTTTCCTTGTTTTGCCTTGTCCGCTATTATTTTCATAGTATTATCTATAAGCTTGAAAATGAACATTCATTGCGCTTAGTTAATAGTGGAATGAAAATGTCTGCCGCCATGTTCTTGCTCAGCTACAGAACATGAGGGATGTAGCTCTGTTGCTTCCCTGGGGCCCTGGGGGATACATACCACCCAGAGTGATACATACCAACCATATCCAGGATACATGGTATAGCAGATATCAGCTGGACAATGTTAAACTGGTCAAACCTGAATGCAAAAAGAGGTCAGTGGGACCATATATATAAATATATATATATATATATATATATATATATATATATATATATATATATATATATATATATATATATATATATATATATATATATATATATATATATATATATATATATATATATATATATATATATATATATATATATATATATATATATATATATATATATATATATAATAGTAAGAATATTCTTGCTAGATAATCAGTAATCTATTGTCAGTGCATTAATAACACTCCTGCAGTTGATAAGCCTCAAGCCCACCATCTGACCAAATATGTAATGTTATTATTTAGTTTTAACCATTGTCAGGGTCCTTCCTATCTAGATTATGCAGTGGGTTTTGTCGCCATAAAAAAGAATGGACATAAATTCACCTTGAGCGCGTACAGAGGAGGGTGACAAAGTTAGTCACAGGAATTAAAAACCTTCCACAAGAAGAGGGATTAAGAAAGTCTAATTTACATACTCCGGAATTTACAATCCCCTTCCAAGTTCTCGTAAGATCATATTAGATACATATTTACGTCATTCAATTCACCCAAGACACTATTCGTTACCTCCAAGCCCCACTCAACTTCCACAGGACTCTGCCAACTCGCATTTTAATCTTCCAGTGGACGATATCATATGTTAAGTCAGCACTGTGGAGAAATGCCCGCCAGACCACTGGAACATTATCTAACACATATTATATATCTAACACAGTGCAAAGTTACAAACCCATTAAGATTTCAACTAAGATTCAACAGAGCAGAAGAAATTGTTAAACACATAGGGGCAAAATCTTACTGAAGCGACCATATGAGTCATAAATACTCATACTCCGCCCAAGTAAAACAGAAACAAGCAACACTTAGTGGGCCAGCCAGAGGCTTAGGGACCGCGCAGTGGGCCAGCCAGAGGCTTAGGGCCCGCGCAGTAGGCCAGCCAGAGGCTTAGGGCCCGCGCAGTGGGCCAGCCAGAGGCTTAGGGCCCGCCCAGTGGGCCAGCCAGAGGCTTACGGCCCGCGCAGGAATATCCCTGCAAAAAAAAAAGATGTGTGTTATCACATGTTAACCCGTATTGTGTTGGTGCGTGTCCTCAGCGGAGCCGGAGAGGGCCACGGTGATGAAGGGTCTGGCCCACTGGGAGGAACACACCTGCCTCAGGTTCCTCCCAGTCAACGACACTGACCTCCCACACCTGCAGTTCCGGAAGCTGGCGGGGTGTCGCAGCGGAGTGGGCATCGAGGGAGCTACCGGCCAGAACATCTCCATCGGCGACAACTGCAACAAGGTAGGTAGTGAGTGAGTGAGTGAGTGAGTGAGTGAGTGAGTGAGTGAGTGAGTGAGTGAGTGAGTGAGTGAGTGAGTGAGTGAGTGAGTGAGTGAGTGAGTGAGTGAGTGAGTGAGTGAGTGAGTGAGTGAGTTTTCTCGTATGGCTACTTATGGTTACCATGTCTATTACTATCATCCACTTGTTCGCTATGGTCACCATGTCTAATATATAATCCTGTGGATTAGGGACCTATACGATTTATATTATTATAAGTTTCCAATAGATTTTCACCAAGAGGGCGATCTCACTTCCCTCGATTGTTCTAGATTTAATGTCTTGAAATACAATGATGTGCAGTAGCATCTCTTGAACGATTACAATTCCACTAACTTATTTGATATACCATCTGCATATTGTTCAATAGTATTGGGGGTCTGTATCACATTAAAAGGTTGTGGGGTATGCTATCCATTTTCTTGGGGCGCATGTGAGATTCGTAATTTGCAGTCATTCATGTGTGCTTCTAATGGTGACCTTAGAGAGACCACGTGTGCTTCAACAGGTTGGTATCGTGGTGCATGAGGTAGGGCACGCTGTCGGCTTCTACCACGAAATTCGCAGACCTGACCGCGACGACCACGTGGTCGTCAACGAGAACAACATCTTGAAGAACGAACTCTTCAACTTCTATAAACTACACTGGCTGGACATCTCTATCAAGTACGACCTCTCCTCTGTCATGCACTACCACACACTGGTGAGTCCCACTACCACACACTGGTGAGTCCCACTACCACACACTGGTGAGTCCCACTACCACACACTGGTGAGTCCTCGTGGCCTTCCTCCTACCACCGTAACTGGCGATGGGAAACGGCTCTGGCGAGGTTGCGTATTGGCCATACTCTCTTAACTCATGGACACATGATGGAGTGCCGCCCTGCCCCTTATTGTCCAAATTGCATTGTCCCTCTTACGGTCGTGCATATCCTTGTTGAATGTCCTGACTTACGGGATAAGCGTGTGTGTCTTGTTTTCCGACCTCTCCTGCGGTCGCTTGTCCCTCGATAGTATTCTTGGTGAATCGGATACTTTTGATATCGTTCGCCTTATGCGTTTTTGTTCTCGTATTGTCATCCTTGGTGATATTTAGCGCCCTCTGATTATCCCGCGCATTTGATGGTGCTACACAGCCTTCCCGGCTTGGTGCCTTCTGTTGATAATTACTTACTTACTTCCTCTTCAATTACACCTATCAATGGGCACACACGATAATAGCAGTAATTCTAAATATGACAGTTATATCAGAGGAAATAAAGTAATGATTTATTAGATGAAGTCCAAAGAATACTTACCTTGTTTTGTGTCTCGGCTCATGTGCTAACCTGCATTCCTAAATCTAAATGTTAAAAGCCAATAATAAGCTAGATAGTATAGGAACCGGAAAAGACACTTCCCTTATTGTAGGCTAACTTGGTGTTAATAACGGAAGCACTATTAGTCTCGTAACACCGGTCCAAGGGTAATTTATTGGGGCTTGATTTGCCCCAGCGAGACTTGTTAAATTAATGGTGACTGTCTGCGGCCCTCCTCCCACTGACTCGTCCAGCATCTTGTCCCAGGTGTGTCATGAAGTGGTCAGAGGGCCCACTTTTACTCGATTTTGGTACTGATAATTCAGTTGATTCAAGGAAAATGATTTTATGATGTTAACAGCCCAAAGACTGCTGTATTAAGAATAATTCCCATTATTAGGTGGTGAATTTAATGACGACATGTGGCAATGATATATCATTTTAAACGGGAGGGAATTTCCACTGTACCTCATTTTCTATGAGTTAATTTGTTAATATAAAACAGCATCTGCCTATTGTATTGAATATTAGTAAATGGTGTCGGGTTTTCCGACACCCGTAGTCCACCACCCCCGTTGTTCACCGCCTCACAGTTACTTGCATCTCAGCTTACTACTTTTGTTCTTGTGGGATTTGCCTTTAAGCAACAAATTTATATTTGATATGATTGAAAGAGAGTGAGAGATATATTTAGAGTGAGAGAGAGAGAGAGAGAGAGAGAGAGAGAGAGAGAGAGAGAGAGAGAGAGAGAGAGAGAGAGAGAGAGAGAGAGAGAGAGAGAGAGAGAGAGAGACAGACAGACAGACAGACAGACAGACAGACAGACAGACAGACAGACAGACAGACAGAGAGAGAGAGAGACGACAGGATAATGAGAGAGGTGCCGGGTTGCAGGAGTGGACAGCCAATGAGAGGACCACAGTAGCCACGCGGGACCCGACTCTACAAGGGCTCATAGGCCTGTGGAAGCGAGAGTACAGCATGGGCCTCTCCCACAGAGACAAGCTCTTGGCCAACACCATCTACGGCTGCCTCGGTCAGTGCCTCTTTCTCTCCGTTCCTTCCTCTCATTCACGCACTCAAACACAGCAATAACTGAACGAACATTTAACTTATGGGAACGTTGCTCTTATCTTTATCTAGACGCGTGGTTGGCCAAATGTAACTTGAACCGGAACCCGTGTGAGAACGAGGGGTACCTGGGCCCCTCCTGCACCTGTGTCTGCCCCCCGGGGACCTCCGGCCGCACCTGTCACCTGATCACCGGCGGATACTACGGTAGGCTTATGGCCTCGTGTGTAGGCTAGGTCACCACCTGAGGCTAGGTCACCACCTGAGGCTAGGTCACCACCTGAGGCTAGGTCACCACCTGAGGCTAGGTCACTACCTGAGGCTAGGTCACCACCTGAGGCTAGGTCATCACCTGAGGCTAGGTCACCACCTGAGGCTAGGTCACCACCTGAGGCTAGGTCATCACCTGAGGCTAGGTCATCACCTGAGGCTAGATCATCACCTGAGGCTAGGTCATCACCTGAGGCTAGGTCACCACCTGAGGCTAGGTCACCACCTGAGGCTAGGTCACCACCTGAGGCTAGGTCACCACCTGAGGCTAGGTCACCACCTGAGGCTAGGTCATCACCTGAGGCTAGGTCACCACCTGAGGCTAGATCATCACCTGAGGCTAGGTCATCACCTGAGGCTAGATCATCACCTGAGGCTAGGTCATCACCTGAGGCTAGGTCACCACCTGAGGCTAGGTCATCACCTGAGGCTAGGTCATCACCTGAGGCTAGGTCATCACCTGAGGCTAGGTCATCACCTGAGGCTAGGTCATCACCTGAGGCTAGGTCACCACCTGAGGCTAGGTCATCACCTGAGGCTAGATCATCACCTGAGGCTAGGTCACTACCTGAGGCTAGGTCACCACCTGAGGCTAGGTCATCACCTGAGGCTAGGTCATCACCTGAGGCTAGGTCATCACCTGAGGCTAGGTCACCACCTGAGGCTAGGTCATCACCTGAGGCTAGGTCACCACCTGAGGCTAGGTCATCACCTGAGGCTAGGTCATCACCTGAGGCTAGGTCACCACCTGAGGCTAGATCATCACCTGAGGCTAGGTCATCACCTGAGGCTAGGTCACCACCTGAGGCTAGGTCATCACCTGAGGCTAGGTCACCACCTGAGGCTAGGTCATCACCTGAGGCTAGATCATCACCTGAGGCTAGATCACCACCTGAGGCTAGGTCACCACCTGAGGCTAGGTCACCACCTGAGGCTAGATCATCACCTGAGGCTAGGTCACCACCTGAGGCTAGATCATCACCTGAGGCTAGGTCATCACCTGAGGCTAGATCATCACCTGAGGCTAGATCATCACCTGAGGCTAGATCATCACCTGAGGCTAGGTCACCACCTGAGGCTAGGTCATCACCTGAGGCTAGGTCACCACCTGAGGCTAGGTCATCACCTGAGGCTAGGTCACTACCTGAGGCTAGGTCATCACCTGAGGCTAGATCATCACCTGAGGCTAGGTCACCACCTGAGGCTAGGTCATCACCTGAGGCTAGGTCATCACCTGAGGCTAGGTCACCACCTGAGGCTAGGTCACCACCTGAGGCTAGGTCACTACCTGAGGCTAGATCATCACCTGAGGCTAGGTCATCACCTGAGGCTAGGTCATCACCTGAGGCTAGGTCATCACCTGAGGCTAGGTCATCACCTGAGGCTAGGTCATCACCTGAGGCTAGGTCACCACCTGAGGCTAGATCATCACCTGAGGCTAGGTCACTACCTGAGGCTAGGTCATCACCTGAGGCTAGGTCATCACCTGAGGCTAGATCATCACCTGAGGCTAGGTCACCACCTGAGGCTAGATCATCACCTGAGGCTAGGTCACTACCTGAGGCTAGGTCATCACCTGAGGCTAGGTCACCACCTGAGGCTAGATCATCACCTGAGGCTAGGTCACTACCTGAGGTTAGGTCATCACCTGAGGCTAGGTCATCACCTGAGGCTAGATCATCACCTGAGGCTAGGTCATCACCTGAGGCTAGGTCATCACCTGAGGCTAGATCATCACCTGAGGCTAGGTCATCACCTGAGGCTAGGTCATCACCTGAGGCTAGATCATCACCTGAGGCTAGATCATCACCTGAGGCTAGATCATCACCTGAGGCTAGGTCACCACCTGAGGCTAGGTCACTATTGATTTTAATTTTAAGCACTCGTCGACAAAATATTTTCTACTGTTTTTGCCTAAGTTCTAGTCTTGTTAGGTGATATTTTTGGAGTGAGGATGATGCTCATATTCACTCCCACACAGGACACGGAGTGAGGATGATGTTCATATTCACTCCCACACAGGGCAAAGAATCACATATACGACGTGTTCTAAATAACAGGTTAAAGTCACGAAACACTTCAGATGAAACACTACCTCACACTGCAGTTGAAAGTGTTAGACCACGAAGGAAGGATTAAGGAGCAAATCAAGAAGAACATACTCCCAGCTATCAAGAGTCGCCACACAGCCAAAGTAGCGGAAGGAAGATCCACTGCAATATGGTACGAACAAGTCACTGGGTACCATTCTTTCAAGCCCGGCAAAAGGCTATCCAGTGACATTGCAGTAGCCATACACAGACTCAGACTTGTTTACAAGTGCTTCTGGGAGGTAATAAACCCAATAGGTAAAGAGTGTCATATATATGGAACAGATGCAGAGGCGCCACTATTGCATTACTGGAATGTGAAGCAATTGAAGCGCTGCGCATCAAACTCAACATTAATCCAACGACAGCAGCTGCATTAGATGCAAATTAAACAGCGACAACAATGATTAGAAAAGCAGTTGAAGAATGGGACGCACCAGTGAACACGGAGCATTTATATCCGCCACCAAGATGATGTATTAAAACAAGACTAAAACCAGTGCGCTTAAACAGAAGCGAAAAATAAATAGGGGAATAGGCGTGAACCCCCCCCCCCCCTCCATTTATAACATTGACCCAAATATCACAGTAACAAGGTTGTCGTGAATCACCAAACTCAATTACGGGCTCACTATAGCCCGTGCTACATGGATATTTCGTTCTAAGTAGCTAAACCTAAAACAACAACAACAATTACAAGGACAAGACACATACAGTGACGCTCGTGTGTCACAAACACCCTAAGTCCACTACTGGCTGACCACAGCCGTGCTGCTTGGGTCTTGTTGTTCCAAGCAGCTGAATCTAACACAACAACTAGTAAACATTCGCACTCAGCCTTTGATAATGTTGACAATATGTGTGTGTGTGTGTGTGCAGGGTCATTAGAAGACAATATGTGAGTGTACCCGGGTGCCCCACAAGGCTCCCCCGGACACTACATATCCTCTTCTTCGAGGCCAAGGGTCCCTACGCCGCAAGAGGTGGTGGTACCCCAATATACATATATTTAAAATATATATGTATATATTGCATATACATAGATATGAATATATAAATATACACACAATATATATATATATATATATATATATATATATATATATATATATATATATATATATATATATATATGTCGTACCTAGTAGCCAGAACGCACTTTTCGGCCAACTATGCAAGGCCCGATTTGCCTAATAAGCCAAGTTTTCCTGAATTAATATATTTTCTCTAATTTTTTTCTTATGAAATGATAAAGCTACCCATTTCATTATGTATGAGGTCAATTTTTTTTATTGTAGTTAAAATTAACGTAGATATATGACCGAACCTAACCAACCCTACCTAACCTAACCTAACCTATCTTTATAGGTTAGGTTAGGTTAGGTAGCCTAAAAAGTTAGGTTAGGTTAGGTTAGGTAGGTTAGGTTGCCGAAAAACAATTAATTCATGAAAACTTGGCTTATTAGGCAAATTGGGCCTTGCATAGTAGGCTGAGAAGGACGTTCTGGCTACTAGGTACGACATATATATATATATATATATATATATATATATATGTATGTATATATATATAATATAATATAATATTATGTTTACTAGTTTCTATGCTATATTGTAGAAATTGGGGTCCATAATATTGTTAATAAAATCATGAATACCTTCCAAGGACCACCCATAAATAAAGGGAATAAATTTGAGAACCAGTGATCTATGGATCTTGCATAAAATATAAATGAAATCTAAGACTGTATAATATGAACTGTAATATTATAATTTAAGGAACCAAATCCCTCCACAGACTTTCGGGGGGTTTAATCAGTAAATATAATTAATAATGTATAAGATGATGTGATAATGGAATACTACACATTAATCAAATATTCACATATAAATTGATATGCAAGAAAATGTTATTTATGAAATAAATTGGTTTTAATATATATCTACGAAAACTATAAAGACAGCTGAGCTGTGGGATGAATAGACGTAAGTGATCCGCGTGTTCATATACTCGTCGATTAGAATCGTGTTTCATCAGGCTACAGCTAGGAACACGTGAGTGTCGAGGAAGTATTCGCCTCACTTGCGTTGGTACTCCAGCTGAAATACGAGTTAAATGTAAAATCTATTGGAGAAAGCACGACTCTGTTAATATTCATGGGAAATTAATATGAATTGTTGAGTGGAAAGCGACTTAAGAGTTTGGTAGTAAAGTCATGCCTGGTAACGACACATCGTCCTATCTAATAGTTTGATGTAGCGACAAGAAACAAATTATAGAACCCGATAATGTGCCGAACAAGGTGTTTGAGACGTAATGAAGCTACCACGCCTTGCTGACGTCCGTAGGTGCACGGATGTTACTTTACGAAGACGGTAATATTTGGTCAGCTACCAGATACTCTCCGTGCTGATTATGGCGTCGCTTGCCTTCTTTATCTTTCTCGGGCTCACTCGCACATGCTACGACGCATTGAATATTTCTACGCTTTATTTAATATCCTGAGTTGATGGGACTAAGGCGTATCAGAAACTTTAGAGAATAATTTGCCTTATTTGACAATATATAAATTCTCGTTTTCTAATGATTAAATAAACGTTGGTTGATATGAGAGTGCTGGGTAGAAATTCTGTTATTCGGTTTAATTCTATTTTCTATGAATACTCTTGAGTAACAATTCGCAATCGCGTGAATTATTATCAGCTAATAAACTATACTGTTTAATTACGAAGATAAACATATTATCAGCTGTATGCCATTGAACAGAGTTGTAACAATAAATTACTAAATAATAATTTCCATTAAGGAATGTGAAATAAAAAGAACTTAGGACGATTCTCTCAAATGTAAATAATTTTCCGTCTCGTCATGTGTTGATGCAACATCTGACTAGAATTTCTGGGGCATGATGCATTATTACGCATTAATAAACTAAACTCCTTAGTGCTAAGCTATATGTTAGTAGAGTTAGTAAATAATGTTAAACAGTGCAAGACTAGTGGCTTAAGGTACTGAATATTAGTAATAAAGTGTTGGAAATTTCCAACATATATAGCATGAGATAAGGTGAAGGTGAAGCACCTTCCTTGTGGGTCAATGAGCCTATTGCAACTTACCAATCTCCTGTGTTTCCATGATGTCTGGGGCAGTATATGTTTCGTCGTGTTCTCGAAGATGATAGAGTGTAATTTGGTGTTGGTTGGTTGATAGATGGCTTGGCTTGTTATGCACAACCACTTGGCTGCATGTTAGAGCGAAGGTCTCGCTTCATGCAGGTCGGCGTTCAATCCCCGACAGCCTAAGTAGTTAGGCACTATTCCTATCCCCACCTTCACCAGTCCCATCCCAAATCCTTAACCCGAGCCTTTCCCAGTGCTATATAGTCGTAATGGGTTGGCACTTCCCCTGATAACTCTCTCCCTCTCCTGATAGTTAGCTAACCTTATTAAACTTACTAGTTAGCTAACCTTACTAAACTTACTAGTTAGCTAACCTTACTAAACTTACTAGTTAGCTAACCTTACTAAACTTACTAGTTAGCTAACCTTACTAAACTTACTAGTTAGCTAACCTTACTAAACTTACTAGTTAGCTAACCTTACTAAACTTACTAGTTAGCTAAACTTACTAAACTTACTAGTTAGCTAACCTTACTAAACTTACTAGTTAGCTAACCTTACTAAACTTACTAGTTAGCTAACCTTACTAAACTTACTAGTTAGCTAACCTTACTAAACTTACTAGTTAGCTAACCTTACTAAACTTACTAGTTAGCTAACCTTACTAAACTTACTAGTTAGCTAAACTTACTACACTTACTAGTTAGCTAACCTTACTAAACTTACTAGTTAGCTAAACTTACTAAACTTACTAGTTAGCTAACCTTACTAAACTTACTAGTTAGCTAACCTTACTAAACTTACTAGTTAGCTAAACTTACTAAACTTACTAGTTAGCTAACCTTACTAAAAACTAACCTAGCCTATTTCTGGTCTTCTGTTGTAGCTGTGTCTGTCGATTATTTTGGTGTTTGTCAGGATATATGTAGTTATGATCTGGGTATGTGTAAAGACTACATGTTCTTCCCTAGGGCCTTGCTGTTTGTGCATTGTTACACGCCTTAAAAGGGATGTTGTTGTCTTGTCTCTATATTGAGATCGTTGGGGCTGACAGTCCCCAAGTGGGCATGTGAAGGCATAGATGTAATTTGTGATCAGTAAAGTTATACAACCAGAGAATTTGGGTGACCTTACACGGGCATGCAAATTTTTGTTTTATTATTATTATTATTGCACAAAGAAATCACATTAACGTCATGTATCATTGGGAAAATCAGTAGGAGCCATTAGGAGGATTCGAACCTATGCTCCGGTACTCCCAGAGTACATGAATTGCTCTGGAAGCAACACAGGATTCTCATAGGAGCCATGAGAATCATCCTCGTGGCTCCTACTAATTTTCCCATTATTATTATTTTAAACGTTAATATTTAAAGTTTACGTTGGAGTTTGAGAGTTAAAGTTGCACTTTTTTATGGCAATCAATATATTTACTGCATACCATCGAATGTTATGAATCATTTAATTACCAAATATTTGAATTGTTAAAGTGACGATATGCTTTGGTCGCCAGTTTGTTGTCAAAATGTGTATCATAAATTGGCGTAATTCGTGACAATAAAAAGCATCGAAATTGCTCTTTTGTGCAAATATTATTTTTAATAATATTAATACTTTTGTTTATTATCGCTTCTACTACCATTTATATTTTCATGACTTCTTTTAGACCACCTGAAGTCACCGTGTAGCTTGGACGTCACCTACCCCACGACCATCACATCACCTGGCTACCCTAATAACTATGACCCAGGTAAGACCAATGTCATTAACCTTGCGTGGTCACCACCTCACCTCATTCATTCATAATATTCTCAATGAAATAGACATGAAGATACATTCATTAATTTTTGCTTCGTTTTATCTCGTCAAAAATACACTTAGACTCTAATTAGAGTTAAAACTCTCTCATCAACTCCAATTTTAAGTTTGTTGAAGTCTCCTTTTCATATACATTTACTAAATGGGCTAACCGGCTGTGCCCAGGTCTCTTTACACCCTTTCCTCTTTTTGTAACCCAAACTCCACCCCTTTCATTTCTGTTTTCCCCTCTCTGCTTTCTCTTGTACTCTCAGAAAATTTAGTATTATTAAGCACGGCAAACTTCTAACTCTACGGAAAATACATATCTGATTTCAATGAAAATTGTATATTGTCATTATATCTTCGGATCATATTATTTCTTAAAAAGTGGCGTTGGGACCGACCCCGACTGGCCACTGACACACCCATATCCTTATTTGTTATCTTGGAAAGTTGAATGAGGCTAGGCCTAAGCGTCTGGACTTCAGTTTTGGACATACAGACAGACAAAATATCGACTTTACAAATATACTTTGTCTCTCTTCCTTTTTTCCTCTTTCTTTTTCTGTCTGTCACTTTCTGTGACCGTGGCTTGTTCTCCCTGGAACAGACACCTGGTGTGTGTACCAGGTGGAGGCGCCCATGTGCCAGGCTCCGGAGGTGGTGGTGGTGGACTTCCAGCTGGGGCCCCGCGACTCAAGGGACCAGTGCTTCCATGACTACCTGGAGGTACGCAACGACTCCCTCTACGACGGCTTCCTGTGAGTCCAAGGGGGCAGCGGGCGGTTATATACTTAAGAGTATGTATAGCAGAAGTACTTGTCTATAAACACTAAAATTGTATTTTAGGTCAACTTAAATCAATATAGTTTGGAAACATTTATTCCGTAGATGAAATTATTTTTACCTCGGGAATCTTATACATTATTATGACTGAAAATTTGTAATTGATAATTAAATGTTAGATAAGTTTCATACTTTTATTTTTTGTGTGTTATTCACGTGTTCTAATGTTGTGCATCAGTTTCAGTATGTGTGCTTGTTGTCCATGTATCCCAGTTTGAGTGTGTGCATTTAGTGTCCATGTGTCCCAGTGTGTGTGGTCCATGTGTCCCAATGTGTGTGGTCCATGTGTCCCAATGTGTGTGGTCCATGTGTCCCAGTGTGTGTGGTCCATGTGTCCCAATGTGTGTGGTCCATGTGTCCCAGTGTGTGTGGTCCATGTGTCCCAATGTGTATTTGTTGTCCTTGAGTCTCAGTGATTATGTGTTGTTAAATAATTTTTCACTACAATTCCTACTATTGTAACGTGGATTTCGTTCCACCCTAAACTATAGCTCACAATATTTATTAAACGGGTGATGTTAAGGTAATGCATTAAAACATTCGGTTCACGCCACCGTGGCGCTACCCTTTTACATACATGGAATGCAACGAACTTTGCAAAATTAATTAATATTCCTGTTGTGACGTCACGTGTAGGGCTGCAAGCCGCCAGGTCCTGTGTATCAGTATCATGTTCACTTGTAGTGAAGGTGTACACAGTGTTAACTCGTGCATGTATGAGAGGTGTTGAGCCAGGTGTGGAGCCAGGGGTGGAGCCGCCGAAGAGTGTAAGGTACCAGTGTTGTACAGGAAGTGTGGGACGGAGGTGGCGCCGGGGACCAGCTGGAAAGCCTCCTCCAGCACCATGATCCTCTACTTCAAGGGCGCCGAGGGTGGCTACCGCGGCTTCAAGGTGGAGGTGAGGTTCGCGGACATCCCCGGCTGCTGCACCACCACCTCCACCTCCACCACCGCCGTCTACCTCCACACCCCCAGCTACCCACACCCCTACACAGCCGACTTCAACTGCACCTTTACACTCCCGATGGTAAGTTCACTCCCTCCCATCTACAACTTTGTTATCAGAAATTCTAATTTTATATTTTAGATTTATGAACGAATGTGATTGCTCTTATTGAGGTCCAACTAACGTGACCATGATGGCTGAGGCCAGTAGATGACCCTGCAGGTGGCTGAGGCCAGTAGATGACCCTGCAGGTGGCTGAGGCCAGTAGATGACCCTGCAGGTGGCTGAGGCCAGTAGATGACCCTGCAGGTGGCTGAGGCCAGTAGATGACGATGCTGGAGGCTGAGGCCAGTAGATGACGATGCTGGAGGCTGAGGCCAGTAGATGACGATGCTGGAGGCTGAGGCCAGTAGATGACTACTGGTGGCTGAGGCCAGTAGATGACTACTGGTGGCTGAGGCCAGTAGATGACGATGCTGGTGGCTGAGGCCAGTAGATGACTCTACTGGTGGCTGAGGCCAGTAGATGACTCTACTGGTGGCTGAGGCCAGTAGATGACGATGCTGGAGGCTGAGGCCAGTAGATGACTACTGGTGGCTGAGGCCAGTAGATGACTACTGGTGGCTGAGGCCAGTAGATGACGATGCTGGTGGCTGAGGCCAGTAGATGACTCTACTGGTGGCTGAGGCCAGTAGATGACTCTACTGGTGGCTGAGGCCAGTAGAGGACTCTACTGGTGGCTGAGGCCAGTAGATGACTCTACTGGTGGCTGAGGCCAGTAGATGACGCTGCTGGTTGCTGAGTTTTAGTAATATTAGTAGTATCAGTAGTTAAAAGTAACAACAGAACTTGTATTTGCAGTAGTTGTAGTAGCAGGGTTGTTATTATTAGCACTGCCAGAATGTATGTAGTGTTGTTATAAGAATGAGGAAAACGTAGGCGCTAAGGCTACACTAAGGCGCTGACTCTGAGCATGTGTCTTTCAGGTGGCGCCGGCCAGGGTGGTGGTGAAGGTGGTGAGGAAGGGCGGCGCCCACGCCACCCACCCCTGGACCTGCACACTCAAGCTTTGTCAGCCAAATGGGAGATGCTACAGGTGAGGCAAGGACCCGTGTCTCTCTCTCTTCACACACACACACACACACACAGGGCCTCGCAGCCGAGTATACAGCACCTAGAGATCGTAATCCAAATTCCTCGGGTTAGATTCCCAGCCAAGGCAGAAACAATTGGGCAGTTTCTTTCACCTGATTTACCTGTACATCTAGCAGTAAATACATACCTGGGGGCTAGACAACTATTGCGGGCTGCATCGAGGGGATGAGTGTGTGTGAGAGAGAAATGTGTAGTAAGTAAAATTGGTTGGTAGTCAGAACATTAGCCAACTGATGATTAGAAAGGCAGGGCCCAAGAGCTAATAGCTCGAACCTGAAGGCACAAATAGTAAATATTGTTATGATCGGTGTCTAATTAGTCCTTTCCGGCCTCAATAATAATTTTTATCTACCTAGAAAGATCACAGAAACCCCCACTTTGAGACTTCAGGCTGAAAGCACAAGGTACATAAGGAGTCAGCAAGCCGTTGAGTCGCTTAGCCAGTCTGTACGTGGGTGTGGGTATCTGGCTGATGAGTGGTCGAAGTGGGTTTCCAGGCTTGTGGGTCTTGACATTCCCATACGCATACCCAGGTTTGTATTCCCCAATAACCTTTGGCAGGTGGAGTCCGGATTTCTTGGCGTTCACTGTTTTGATCAATCTGTTTACCTTTGTTTTCAATTCGGCTGTAGTGTCCTTTGTTACCCTTTGGAATTTAGTTTGGTCAGAGAGTATGAGGTTCATTTTCGCCAGATATTCGTCTTTTTTAAGAATAACGTATATTGGCGACTTGTCACCTCTCCTGACGACTATCTCCTTGTTTTCACGAAGGCTCTTAGCTGCCGCTTTGAGCTCTGGGGACAGCATGGTGCTTCTGTAGTTGCCTCGAACCTTTCCTCCTTCTGCAATAAGTTCTGTTTGCAAGGTGTCTTTAGTGGTACCCTTGTTTTGCGTCTCGAGGTCGAATATGTCGTCCAATAGGATCTCCAACTCCACTTTCCGGGCCATCTCACTTGGTCTGGACATAACGTGACATCCTTTCACATCCTAACAATTTATCCAAAATTTGCTTCTCCATTTTTAAGAATATAGAACAATTTTATTTGTTATTTTTAAGCCTGCATCTCTTATGAACCCATCCGTGCCCTTGTGTGGCAGTGCACAACAGAAAGTTGTATTTACATATTCGTACATTGAAACGGGTATACAATCTAATGTAATTGATTGTAACCATGATATAGATGTGCTTCAGCCTACAGTTTAGACCTGTTGTCTTGTGTATGATCCTATGTCCTGTGTGACAGTGAATACCACCATTATCCTCACTCTAACAAGACCTAATTGAATTCCTCAGATTAGGCAATATTGTAATTAATTGTTGTCGATGAAGATGCTAATATTAATAAGTGAATCCCCAGAGGTGCTGCGATGTCCCTGTTTTTGTTGCTGGTGAACACGATGTTAAGCGTCGACTTCATCACGTGGGAAAGGGAGTACAGTGGTGGCAGTAAGGATACTGTGAAGAGACCAGTGACGGAGTGTCACCGGTGGAGCTCGACGAGGCTCTGCCCTTCTTCCCCCGTGACAATATATACACACATATACACGTACAATAAATTCCAGAAGACAGAGTTAGAAATAAAAAGAGGATATGGGAGGAATTTAACAAGAGCGTCCAAGATGTATTTAGATCAAGTACATGTAATACAGTGGGAGGATCTGGTCGTGCTACAGCAGGATACAGTGTAGCAGTGGGAGGATCTGGTCGTGCTACAGCAGGATACAGTGTAGCAGTGGGAGGATCTGGTCGTGCTACTAGGCACAGTGCTACACTAAGTCTTCCCATGAACTGAAAATAACACAAATGTTGTTCTGTGTTAAGCTTTCAATGATGTATTGTGATTAACTGGACAGGAAAGAACTACCAGACAGCTGGACGATGGCCTCTATGCCCCAGTAAGGTTTTAGAAACACTTGTGAAGGCAAGCTGAAGAACCTGGCCTTCCAGACACTTCAGAAGTAGAGACTCAGAGGAGACTTGTTTACAACATACAAGTTTCTAAGGAACCTAGATAGTGCAGACATCGACAACCTTTTTTGACATAAAAGACAATACGACGAGAAAACCCAGATATACGCTGAAGGCCAATGAATACTAGTTATGTTGGGATCTATTAGTTCAGCGAGATTGTCAATTTTGACGACTTGTGGGAGGCGGCGGTGGAAGATGATCTCAGTGGAGATCATGAAAGGGGCGAAGAAGCTGTGCTAGATGAGCGGCAGCAGAATGACTAAGGCTAAGAACTAGGTTTACTCTCTGCTAAAAAAAAACACACATTTAAGCATGCACAACTTGAGGTCTATATCAAATGAGAGGATCCTGCTTCAGGTACTGTCGGAAGCTGTGGCGAGGGTCTCACCTGAAGGTGGTGTTACCGAACGTGGCCTCCCGCCACCACCTCGACTACCAGGCGGCGACCTCTGCCTTCAACGCGGAGAATGCTGCCTACCAGGTCTCCTTCACCCTGGAGGAGTCGCCTTGCCACAAGGTCAGACGTGTCACGTTGTCATGGTCGGTATGTCATGTTGAGGGAATCTCACCTTCACTAATTCCGTGTTTGACCCGAGAGTCATTGCCCCTCAGGTCACCCGTAGGCACATTGTTGTCGTCATTGTCTAAATTGTTAATGTTTGGATACCCACATTCTCTGTAGACGCACTTCAGGGCAACACATGCTCCAATAACGTTGAATCAACGTTACTGATGTTGAATCAACGTTGTCGACGTTGAATCAACGTTATCGACGTTGAATCAACGTTGTCGACGTTGAATCAACGTTATCGACGTTGAATCAACGTTGCATTATCGTCATCGATGTTGAATTAACGTCATTTGCCTAACATGTATCCGCTGGAACTATATATCCGCAACGTCGTTTTAACGTTGCTGCAACGTTAACATATTTTAAACATATATAAACTATACAACGTTATATATATATATATATATATATATATATATATATATATATATATATATATATATATATATATATATATATATATATATATGTTGTAACTAGTAGCCAGAACGCAGTACTCGGCCTACTATACAAGGCCCGATTTGCCTAATAAGCCAAGTTTTCCTAAGTTTATTTATTTTTCATATTTTTTCTTATGAAATGATTAAGCTATCTATTTCATTATGTATGAGTTAATTTTGTTAAATTTGAGTTAAAACTAACAGAGATATATGACCGAGCCTAACCAACCCTACCTAACCAACCCTACCTAACCAACCCTACCTAACCAACCCTACCTAACCAAACCTACCTAACCAACCCTACCTAACCAACCCTACCTAACCAACCCTACCTAACCAACCCTACCTAACCAACCCTACCTAACCAACCCTACCTAACCAACCCTACCTAACCAACCCTACCTAACCAACCCTACCTAACCAACCCTACCTAACCAACCCTACCTAACCAACCCTACCTAACCAACCCTACCTAACCAAACCTACCTAACCTAACCTAACCAAAACTAACACAACTACCTCAATAATTTATGTTCTTAATATAATATAATAATAATAATTCAAATAAACTAATTGGAAACAATTTATTGAAAATACAGAAAATCACTCGGTCTATTAGGCAAATCGGGCCTTACATAGTAGGCCGAGAAGTGCGTTCTAGCTACTAGATATATAAATTATTCTCTCAGATCATGACGGTGAACCGATCAGACCCGCGCGGCAGGATCAGTGTTGGGCCTCGCCTCTCGGACGCTCTCCAGTGTGAGTGGTGGATTCAGGTACGATACGCTGGCTCACGCCCGACCAGGCCACAGCGTCTGTATTTTAACGTTGTGTGTGTTTGCTGGGTTGCGTGAGCAATACTGAAGACAGGTCCTCAGCAAAGAGATGTGAAAACCTTGCACTTCTTGAGTGACTATTGAGCTGTGCGAATTATAAGCAAATGTATTATCATGGCGTTTACTGTAGGTGAACTGGATTGAGGAAAATACACGCCTTTTGCAATTTAGAGTTTCATATTAGTTAATAATTTATGATATACAAGAATGTTTCCTCCACACCAAGGCGCCTCGCGGAAGCCACGTGACGGTGAGGGTGGAGGACCTCTACCTTCCTGGAGACAAGGACTTCTACCTGGCCGTGGACGAGGCCGGGGACGCCTCCTACCCGGCCCCAACCACCAGAGTCTTCTACAACCTCACTCTCAAACAGTTCGTCTCCCTCGAGCACAAACTCGCTCTCGTCCTCCAGGGTGACCACCTCACCCACCTCACACTCAAGTATGAGCTGTGTACGTATCTCCATCATTCATACTAAAGTATGACTTATGTATAAGTCTCATTCAGTCATCACACACTCAGTTATGGGGTTCAGTAGCGCAGTAGGCAGCGCAGGAGAATCACAACCGAGAGGTTCGATTCCCGGGACATGACAGATGTTTGAGCAAGTTCCCTTTCATCTACCTAGCAGTAAACAGTTACCCGAGAGTTAGGCACTCGCTGTAGGTCGCATCCTGGGAAACACCCTAAGTACAAGTTTAATTCCTGTATCCGACAACGGGAATTATTAATTATTCCTAATGTGTTAAACATTTATAAAAATCAGAAAATACGTAGTTGTAAAAATGTTTGTGTGCCTTCCCACTGTCCACGTATTAATCCTTTTTACAATTATGTATTTTCGGTTGCTTACGAATTTCGAACACACAGGATGGCAGCTGCTGATTTATTTCATTGGATTTCGTTTTAACAACCATGTGCAATGGCTACAGAATTTGAGGTGATGGTTAACATTGAAGGTGGTCCTTCAGACGAGTGCCGGGACGAGGACGAGGAGTGCGAGTACTGGGCGGTAGGCGACGAGTGCCGCAGGAACCCTCTCTGGATGATGGAACACTGCAGGAGGTCCTGTCTCAAATGTGGTAAGAACGCTGTCTCTAGTTCTAATATCATTTTTCTTTTATCCATAACCCTTTCGTATGTCGCAAGAATCTTCGACAAGCCGCCGGCTTCTGATCCTTTTCGAGGTCCATAGTGTTAGTGGCCCTCAGGTAAATTTAGGTAGAAGGGAAACATTATAAATGTTTTAGTAACCCCTTTAATAATTTGGTTTTCTGTGTTATTCGTTTTATATAGAAAATGTTTATAATAGACTATTTAAATAATAATTTTATCTTCATTTATCTGAAAAGCAAGCATTCGTTATCTCAGTACACAGCTTCAACCAGGGCTTGTATGCTGTAATATAATAAGATATCCCACCGATTGTTGAATCTAGACCAATACAAACAGATAGTCAGACCTTCCAATCCACCTGCCTCTACCATGAGGGGTCACAAGTAGGTAGAGGGATGGGCGCATGCGACCCCACCCTCGTCGCCGCCCCAAGATCTACAGCAACAAGTAGAGGGACACTTATGCCTCTCTTCTTAATCCATTTCACACTTGGACTATAATATATGGGTCAGCCGCGACTCACAGCAGCAGGTAAAACTGGGTATTTCTAGCCACAAAATAACAACAAAAACATAAACAGGGGCCCATCTGCATCTCGCTATATAAACTCTGTGTCTTGACAATTTTCAGGTATTTACCTGAATATTATATGGACATTATTTATTACAACAAAAAAATCCGGGACCACGTAAACAATATTTTTCTGGGATCATTTGTTAGACTTAACAATTGTCTTAACAGTGGAGGCTGCACTCAGGAGCTTACATTCTATATTAACCTGGAGCGTTTCTGAGCTCTTTAGAATATTAGTTACATTAGAGATGTAAGTTTGCATTACAGGTTTTATATTTATTTCCAACGATGTATAGTTTATTATTATTTCAGGTGTGACGTTCAGCGTCAGGGTCAGGGAGAGGGAGAGGGTCAGGGTCAGGGAGAGAGTCAGGGTCAGGGAGAGGATCAGGGTCAGGGAGAGGGTCAGGGGGAGGATCAGGGTCAGGGAGAGGGTCAGGGAGAGGGTCAGGGTCAGGGAGAGGATCAGGGTCAGGGAGAGGGCCAGGAACAATAGTATCCCTACACTTGTCATTCTTCATAAGAATAGTTGTGTAATGTGAACCCGCAGTAAAAATAACAGAAAAAATATCCAGAAAACAATTAACATTTTAATTATCGTAGTGTTCCAATTACTGTCGCAGAAAACTGTATTTTTACTTAACATCGTTTAGCTTAGTTTAAAAAAGACAAAACCAAAAAAATATGGATCAATTACAATATTTTATCACTGCCGTGTCACACCGACAGACAACCCCAGGTGTGCGAGGCTACATCTGGGTGGTGCTTCCACCGACAGACAACCCCAGGTGTGCGAGGCTACATCTGGGTGGTGCTTCCACTCTGGCCTCACATGTATGTGTCTGTCACACCGACAGACAACCCCAGGTGTGCGAGGCTACATCTGGGTGGTGCTTCCACTCTGGCCTCACATGTATGTGTCTGTTGAACACTTTGTGCTAAGCGATGTTGTGTTGAGGGCTTATCAGCCTCTGGAGGGTTAGTATAAGGCCACCACAGTGGCTTACTGACCAGCCAGGAATTGTATTTTAGTTTTCAACATTGTCCAGGACTCAAGTAAACTCTCTCAGTGTTTGTACACTGAGAAGCGGAGTGCACCTCTGTGTGACCCTGAGGTCAGATTATATATGTATATATATATATATATATATATATATATATATATATATATATATATATATATATATATATATATATATATATATGTTGTACTCAGTGTTACAGGTAACATGTTGTTGGATGTGCTAATTGATACAAAAAAATTTTAAACAAAAATGCTATAGAACAGCTGGAGAATTACTCATCGTATCAAAAACAAACATAAAAATCACATTTCAGCAAAATCTAAATTTTCTGAAACTTGTTTATGACATTAAAATCAAGAACGCTTAATACCTTGGAAGCCGCTTTTGTTGACTATTTAAATATATGAATATAAGCTCATATTTCACAACTTGAGCAGTAAATTACACACATTCTGTTGGGACACCAAACTTTAATACTTACAACGCTCTTTAAACAATAGAAACATTTTCATTTACAAAACGAACAAAACAATTCCAGGCACAATATGAACAAAACTCTACCACACAATATGAACAAAACTCTACCACACAACATGAACAAAACTCTACCACACAATATGAACAAAACATTACCACAAGAAATACAAACATATTTCTACAACACAAATACGAACAATGCACTGCATACGCACAATGTGAACAAAACATTACCACACACACACAATGTGAACAAAACATTACCACACACACATAATAGGAAATAAATAAGAAATAATAAATTAAGAAAACATTATAAATAATAATACATTAATAAATAAATAAGAAAACATTACCACACACACACTACAAACAAAACACTAACACACACAATACAAACAAAACACTTCCACACACACTCTAAAAAAAATACTAGTCAGAACACATTAATAATTTGCATTTTAACCATAAAAACATTTAATTAAACCACGAACCAATAATTCCAAGGATTTTCTTTCCATTCTCGAGCTTTCCAGGATAACCTAAATAAGTTGATCTAGTAACCTATAAGTGCTGCTCAACGGCAGATTAATATTCATTTAAAAATGAATACTGTTTATTAAATTTTATAACCTACATTAGTTTGAAAGTGATTGCGTTACTACTTGTATATATAAGAAGCTATTGTTATGAAACTTTAAAATTTAAATTAGGCGATCAAAACGTTCTCAGATTTTTCACAATGGTGGCAGAATTTATATGCATTTAAAGCTATTTGTGTCCCCGACCATGTTCCAATGTTTAAAAATTATTACGTTTTATCTTCTAAAATTTTGTCTAATTTATTTTAGACCTGATGATGATCTGCGGCCATTGGAGACTTTATAAAGAAATTAAATAAAGATTTTATCTGTCAGAATGTTTACCAGCGCAGTGGTCCTGAATAAACATATTGATATTTACATTTTCGCCTGGGTCATATATATATATATATATATATATATATATATATATATATATATATATATATATATATATATATATATATATATATGTCGTACCTAGTAGCTAGAACGCACTTTTTGGCCTACTATGCAAGGCCCAATTTGCCTAATAAGCCAAGTTTTCCTGAATTAATATATTTTCTCTAATTTTTGTCTTATGAAATGATAAAACTACACATTTCATTATGTATGAGGTCAATTTTTTTTATTGGAGTTAAAATTAACGTAGATATATGACCGAACCTAACCAACCCTACCTAACCTAACCTAACCTATCTTTATAGGTTAGGTTAGGTTAGGTAGCCGAAAAAGTTAGGTTAGGTTAGGTTAGGTTAGGTAGGTTAGGTAGTCGAAAAACAATTAATTCATGAAAACTTGGCTTATTAGGCAAATTGGGCCTTGCATAGTAGGCTGAGAAGTGCGTTCTGGCTACTAGATACGACATATATATATATATATATATATATATATATATATATATATATATATATATATATATATATATATATATATATATATATATATATATATATATGCAACAATGATCACAAAAACACTGATCCAAGTATGCAGAATAACCACATATGAAAAATAGAAACTGCTTAACGCGTTTTCGGCTAATTCGCCTTCATCAGAGCAAAGTAGAATAACATTACCACACACACAAATTCTACTTTGCTCTGATGAAGGCGAATTAGCCGAAAACGCGTTAAGCAGTTTCTATTTTTCATATGTGGTTATTCTGCATACTTGGATCAGTGTTTTTGTGATCATTGTTGCATATATATATATATATATATATATATATATATATATATATATATATATATATATATATATATATATATATATATATATACATATGAATTTCAAAACATTCTGAATGCTAGAAGGTCCAGGGCCGGTGGAACTCTCCTGTACCACTGAGAGAGCTTTGAAATTCAGAAGAAATCTTGGAACATCTTGCTTCAGTTCTCATATTGAGCTGACAAGTTTAAATATATTATACTTACGAAGTCCTAAAAATAACACTAGCATAGCGTAGACAATCCTGCTATAAAAAGATATACATAAAGTATCGAATCATTTTTTCAACAAAATTGACGACAAGAGTTAATTAGTTTCACATTACTGAGGGAGAAAATAACAAGGCATTTATCACTGCACATTATTTATGTTAGAATGATGTGGTGTCTCCGGCAGACTACTCCACCAGCTGCGACGACGCCCACACTGACTGCCAGTTCTGGGCCGACCACGACCAGTGCCTCGAGAACCATGTGTGGATGAATGTACACTGCCGCCGGGCGTGCGGGTACTGTGGTAAGTGGCTGTGGCTGGTGGTGTGGGTTGGTGCTGTGGTAGGTGGCTGTGGCTGGTGCTGTGGTGGGTGGCTGTGGCTGGTACTGTGGTAGGTGGCTGTGGCTGGTGGTGTGGGTTGGTGCTGTGGTAGGTGGCTGGTGCTGTGGTGGGTGGCTGCGGTTGGTGCTGTGGTGGGTGGCTGTGGCTGGTGCTGTGGTGGGTGGCTGTGATTGGTACTGTGGTAGGTGGCTGTGGCTGGTGGTGGGGGTTGGTGCTGTGGTAGGTGGTGGGGGCTGGTGCTGTGGTAGGTGGTTGTGGCTGGTGCTGTTGTAGGTGGCTGCGGTTGGTGCTGTGGTAGGTGGCTGCGACTGGTGGTGGGGAGTAAATGCTATGACCGCTCTCATTTTTCTTATTTTTTTTCCCCAAATGAGCGCTGACCGGTTCCCATTAAAAGGGTCGAGGTTCTATCCTGAAAAATTCCAGTAAGTTGATACCCGTTTTGAATAAACTTTTGTCAAGAGTCCCAATTTTCCGCAGCAGACTTAAAGTTTGCAAAGGAAAAAAATACTCTGCCGTGTTAAGGAATTATTATGTAGAAAATATACATGCTATGCTGTACCCGGTTATGAGTAAAAGTCAAGGTCAGAGGAAGTCCATTTTCAGAGGAAATGTTCATTAGGAGTATAAGTAATTACCAGTTTAATATGTTAGCTCTTGGACCCCGGCTCTATACGTTTATAAGTATAGTTTGGTGCTATCGATCCAGTTCCCTTGAAATTTAAAACAGTCGTATTTCAGACGTAGAAAATAGAGTTACCGAGTTTCAGCTCCCGTTCTCCGCCTTACTTCACTCTCATAACTTCGCTACTATTAGCCCAATTTTCGCAGAATTTTAAACAAGTCATATTTCTGACGTAGTAAATAAGATCAAGGTAGTTACCGAGCTCTAGCTCCTGTCCCCCTCCTTACTGATCATGCATAACTTCGCTACTATCAACCCAATTTTCGCGGAATATAAAACAGTCATATTTCGGACGTAGTAAACGAGATAAAGTTAGTTACAGAATTCCAGCTCTTGTCCCCTGCATCAGTTCGCTCGTGTATTTTAGCTATTAACAGTTCAATTTCTCTGAGATTTTAATCAGACATATTCCACACATAGTAAACAAGATAAAGTTAGTTCTCAAGTTTAAGCTCCTGTCTCCGCCTTAGTTCACACTTGTATTTTCTCTATTCGAAGTTAAAATATAGATATTTCATATTATATATATTATATATATATAGATTATATATATAGATATTATATAGATATTTCAGACCCATTGCAAACAAATAAGATAGTTACCATGCTCTTGTTCCTGTTCTCTGTCTTAGTTCAATGTTCACCAAATATTGTTTTTGCAGAACTTGCTAGCTCTCAACCAGAGCGATTATCAAAGTAAACATGTTTCCCAGATTAAAGTACATAATTATCAATGTGGGTAAACTTAAGTCACAACCCCTCACTCAATACACGTGTGTGCCTGAGTGCGTATGTATGCATGTATGTATGTATGTATGTATGTATGTATGTATGTATGTATGTATGTATGTATGTATGTATGTATGTTTGTATGTATGTATGTATGTGTGTATGTATGTATGTATGTTTGTATGTATGTATGTATGTATGTATGTATGTATGTATGTATGTATGTATGTTTGTATGTATGTATGTATGTATGTATGTATGTATGTATGTATGTATGTATGTATGTTTGTATGTATGTATGTATGTGTGTATGTATGTATGTATGTATGTTTGTATGTATGTATGTATGTATGTATGTATGTATGTATGTATGTATGTATGTATGTGTGTATGTATGTATGTATGTATGTATGTATGTATGTATGTATGTATGTATGTTTGTATGTATGTATGTATGTGTGTATGTATGTATGTATGTTTGTATGTATGTATGTATGTATGTATGTATGTATGTATGTATGTATGTATGTATGTGTGTATGTATGTATGTATGTATGTATGTATGTATGTATGTATGTATGTATGTTTGTATGTATGCATGTATGTATGTATGTATGTATGTATGTATGTATGTATGTATGTATGTTTGTATGTATGCATGTATGTATGTATGTATGTATGTATGTATGTATGTATGTATGTGTGTATGTATGTATGTATGTATGTATGTATGTATGTATGTATGTATGTATGTTTGTATGTATGTTTGTATGTATGCATGTATGTATGTATGTATGTATGTATGTATGTATGTATGTATGTATGTATGTATGAAACCGCTTAGTGCTCATTTGGTCCAAAAAAAAAAATGAGTGATAAGCGGTCATATTATCTACTGCATGGGTTGGTGCTGTGGTTGGTGGCTGTGGCTGGTGGCGGGGGTTGGTGCTGTGGTAGGTGGCTGTGGCTGGTGGCAAGGGTTGGTGCTGTGGTAGATGGCTGTGGCTGGTGGCAAGGGTTGGTGCTGTGGTAGATGGCTGTGGCTGGTGGCAAGGGTTGGTGCTGTGGTAGATGGCTGTGGCTGGTGGCAAGGGTTGGTGCTGTGGTAGATGGCTGTGGCTGGTGGCAAGGGTTGGTGCTGTGATAGATGGCTGTGGCTGGTGGCCGGGGTTGGTGCTGTGGTAGATGGCTGCGGCTGGTGGGAGGGGATGGTGCTGAAGTAGGTGGTGGGGGTTGGTTCTGTGGTGGGGGTTGGTGGTTGTGGCTGGTAGCAGGGGTTGGTGGCTGTTGTTAATTGCTGGGGATGATGCATGGGGTTGGTTGCTCGAGTCTGTGGCTGGGGTTTGTGGCGAGTACTCACCTAGTTGGGCTTGCAAAGGTAAAGCTATATCTGTTTGGTCCCGCCTCTCAACTGTCAATCAACTGGTGTACAGATTCCTGATGGAATCTGTATAATGGCAACTGCTCTAACTTCCGTTGATATAAGACAGCAATTCTCCATGATATCACAGTCACTGTTTCAACAAGTGACTCCATCTTCTGTGTTATGAAACGTTTGTAAAATGACGTATATGGCATCTTATTTCTGAATGATAAATCTAAACAACAGATGTGATAACTTCCCTTTTCTCTCTCTCTAATTCCTATCTCTCTTCCCCCCTCCCCCCCCCACCCCGCTTCCCTGTGGCCCCCACCCTGGCGGGAGAGCAGAGGCGTGCTGGGAGGCCAACAGGCTGTGTCCGGAGTGGGCGGCCCTTGGCGAGTGTGAAGACAACCCCGACTACATGCGGCACTACTGCAGGAGGTCCTGTGGTCTCTGTGGTCAGTGCCTTCATCTCAACATGCTGATTTAGTCATTTAAAGTTAAGGGACAAAAATGGACTTTTTATCTAATATCTTGAGATTCTGAGGACTTTTCAGGGTGTTTCTAATGTCTTGGTTCTTACGTTAGCGCGGAGGAGCACTTGTAAATATAAAAAAATGGAAATTAATGCAAAACAGATAACAATATATTCAGTGTTGTATCCGTGTTGGCAGCAGTTATATTCCTATGTTATCCTGCAGAGGACGAGGAGACGCCCACATCACCCATTACGCTGACGGTGGTAGAAACCTCAACTTCCGGCAGCACTAACACGTCGTCTGAGAGGCCAGGACCCATAAGGCTGCCTCACCACCACAAGAGGAAGTTCCCAAACGGGACCCGAACTACCACAACAACACCAGTCGGAAAACACTCATCCTCGAAACGTCCCGAAGAGAATGAAACTACGAATAAAATTGAAACAAACATGATCTTGAAACCAATGAAGGGTAATCGCAAGCCAAGCAAGCCAAACAGGAGTCGCTATCCGCAACCTCCACCAAGATCACATCAACCCGTTGAGCGCAGTCGGAAGTACAATTCAGCCCTCGACAAGAAGAAGCCTCATAGGCTCAAAAACAAGCCCTTGTTCTCTCAGTTCTCCAAATATAATCAGAGTGTTGAGCTCCACGCCAAGAAACGAACCCCTAAAACACGAAGGTACAGTAATAAAACCTCTGAACCATTTGGCGGCAGAGGAGCAATCAAACAATTAAATGAGCTCACTCCTCTCACAACAGTTGCCCAACTACCAACCAAAACCTCTAATGTAAGTAGAGATCTAGCGAAGAAAAATTATCTCAGAACCACAAGTCAAAAACCAAGTATTTATACAAAAAATCAAGGAAATCCTGCACCGTTTAGAGTAGATAAAGTATCGCCAAGTGCCCCTACGGCAGGGAGGGTTACCCCGACCTCTCTTACCACAGACTCACTGCTTCCTACAGCAGACCCGATAATACCAGCCTCCATCAAGGTAGTAAAAGAAGCTCCAGCATCTGTCCTTACAGACCGGCGGACACAACTGCCTCTAACATCAGTTAATCGGACACAAGTATCCCGGAAAAAAGCTGGTGACAAAAACATAGCTCCTCCCTTTCAGAATTCTCACAGCACTTCTTTAAATGCGTCTGTAGAAGAAGCTATGAGAAACTCCGAAGTCCCCGGGGATCCTACAGCGGTGTACAAGTCACAAGGGACATACGAGGAGCGGGAGGAGTCGCCAAGACAGTCAGGTCCCCGGAGGGCGGTCTGCGGGGAAGGTGAATCAAGACGACGGTGCGAGAGTGGTCGGAAGCGTCCACCGAGCCCTCCAGAGTCTAGGAACAAGAAAGAGACGCTCCTCAGCATATACCACAAGAATCACCACGGGAAAAATGCCACATGGAAGAGAACCAACGATGTTTCCCCAACTGTCGCGTCAAGAGAATCAGGCAAAAATAATTTAGATAACGGAGTGAAGAATAAAAGGAAAATTTCACATAAGAAACACAAAAGCAAAGAGAGAAACACAAATGGAGAAAGAGGGATGGAAAAACGGATTCGGAATAGAATTAAAGAAAAATTCAAGAGGAAGAGAGGCAAGTGGGGCGGCCGGCCAAAGCGTCCTGGTGAAGGCAAGGAGGGGAAGAGAGACGGTGCAAGAAATGACGACCATAGAAGAAGAAATAGGCAAAGAAATGGTGGAGACGGCTCCAACCGCAGGTCGTTTAACGGTCGACGTCGTTCAGATCTTCACCAAAGGTAACTCGTAATTTTTATTTTCAGGAAAGGTAAGTGTAAGTGACAAACATCTTGCATGTGCTCACCCAGCCAGTCTCGCCAGCGCTCAAAACTCACGTATCACGTGTTCTCTCCCTCTTCCAGGAAACGCGAGGATGCGACGCTAAAATCGGACCCATCACCAGGCAACATTCTGCCAAAGGTCACTTCATCAACACGCATCACCCACTCCCCACCTACCACCCATTCCATCCCTACCACCCACTCCACCCCTACCACCTACTCTCCACTCACGACCCACTCCACCCCTACCACCTACTCCCCACCTACGACCCATTCGTCTCCCTACTGGTCACCTAGGCTGTCCAACAGCACGATCTACGATAATCTCCTGAGCACAATCCCCTGGTCGTTTCTAACGTCATCTACCATTACCCTGAATGTCTCTAGGACCATAACTCTCCCCCGGCAGCCAGAGCGGACAATTAGAGTGACGCCCATTAGGGCTATCACGCCCACGACCGGAACCACACTTACCGGCGGGACCACGCCCACCATTTGGGACGTGCCAACCATGAAAGCCAGGCCGACCGCCTCCTCGGGTCAGAGGGTGGAGGCTCCCTCACTGGTCGTACCGGCGCCCCACACCTCCCTCCCGCGGGCAAGGAAAGGTCACAGAGGTAATGTCTCTCCTGTTGATAAATGAACTAAATGTGAAGTATAACTTGGCAATATTTATTTGTAAAGGTTATTTATTTGTTGCAAGGTCTTGGGGCTTTGAATAACTGTATTTGTTTGTGTGTGTGTATAATTTTACTATTTTTACTATTTTATTATTTGTGTCTGTGAAATCGAGCTATTAGCTGTTGGACCCCACCTTGGGATCCAAGATTGGTTAGTTAGATTGGTTAAATAGATTGGTTAGACAATCTATTTTACCTACCTTGAGGTTACCTTGAGGTGCTTCCGGGGCTTAACGTCCCCGCGGCCCGGTCGTCGACCAGGCCTCCTGGTTGCCGGACTGATCAACCAGGCTGTTGGACGCGGCTGCTCGCAGCCTGACGTATGAGTCACAGCCTGGTTGATCAGGTATCCTTTGAAGGATACCTATATTATATCTACTACATATATTTCTCTCTAACACACACACGCACACACACACATCCCCAGGAAGCAGCCCGTAGCAGCTTCTGAAGGTTGTCTGCGAAATCAACCTTCCGTAACGGGCATCTAACTCCCAGGTACCTATTTACTGCTAGGTGAACAGGGTAAAAAGAAACTCTGCCTATTTGTTTCCGCTTCAGCCGGGAATCGAACCCGGGCCATTAGGACTACGACTCCTAGGCGCTGTCCACTCAGCCGTGAGGCTCCATGTGTATAATTACCTATATATGTAATTACCTAAATGTAGTTATAGGATGAGAACTATGCTCGTGGTGTTCCGTCTTCCCAGTACTCTTTGTATAGTATATCTTTGTATATGTATATTATGGGAGCCGGTCGGCCGAGAGGACAGCACACTAGACTTGTGGTCTCGGGTTGATCCCGGGCGCCGGCGAGAAACAATGGGCAGAGTTTCTTTCACCCTATGCCCCTGTTACCTAGCAGTAAAATAGGTACCTGGGTGCTAGTCAGCTGTCACGGGCTGCTTCCTGGAGGTGGAGGCCTGGTCGAGGACCGGGCTGCTTCCTGGAGGTGGAGGCCTGGTCGAGGACCGGGCCGCAGGGACACTAAAGCCCCGAAATCATCTCAAGATAACCTCAAGATTACATTCTCACTTAACTTGTTCCAACTCTTTACCACTTTGCAAAATAAAATTTTCTAATATTTTTTGGCATCTCTGTTTTCTTAGCTTGAATCTGTTTCCTCTTATTCGTGAAGTTGCCGGTTTCAGGAATTCCTCCTGTTAATTTGGTTTATTCCTGTTAGTATTTTGTAAGTGGTGATCATATCACCTCTCTTTCCCCTATCTTCTAGTTTTGGCACGTTTAACGCTTCTAGTCTCTCCGGAAGCCATTTTGTAGCATGTCGTTGCACCTTTATCGGTTTATTTAAGTCGAGTGTTATGATAACCCATTTGCCTTTGAAACACCCAATTTGGATTTAACTATTTTTTTCAGTGTTTTTACTACCACACTTGTTAATGACACGGGTCTATAATTTAGAGATTCTTTTCGACTACCATTTTTTATACATTGGTACTATGTTTGCCTCTTTCCGTATATCTGCTAAGATTCCTGTGCACAAGGATGTCTGGAATATTAATTGGAGAGGAATGCTCAGCTCAGTTGCACATTCTCGCAGCACCCAAGGTGAAACTCCTCCAGGTGCAACTGCTTTACCTCCTTTTAACTCCATGACTAATTTATCCACTTAGCATTTCCACAAAAATATATATAGCATTTTGAGATTTGGGCACCAAGCAACTGCTGCATATTCCAATTTTGGTCTCACAAAAGACATGAATAGTTTCTGTAGTACTTCACCATCCATATAATTAAAAGAAAGTCAGAAGTTGGAAAGTGACGCATACGCTCCTCTCACAATGTTCTTTATGTGTTCTTCAGGCGACAGCTTACTATCCAAAACCCCCCCCCCAGGTCTCGTTCTTCATTAGAGTTCTGTAATTCCTTTCCTCATAATTTGTAAGTTGTGTGTGGTCTATTTTCTCCGATTCCACATTCTATAACATGGCATTTATTCACATTGAATTCCGTTTCACATTCTCGCAGCACCGATTTGAAACTCCATCAGGTCCAACCGCTTTATCTCTTCCTTGCCCTATGAGTAATTTTTCCACTTCGTCTTGAGTTCCCTCTTTGTATTTTATGTCGTGTTCTGAAATTGGTATTTGGGCTGGCTCTGAAATCCTCATTTTGTACAAACACTTTGGAACTGTTCATTTAGCATTTCACACATTTCTTTTTCATTCTCAGTAGTCCTGTTCCATGTTCTCAGTCTCTGGATTTTATCTTTTATCTTTTACATACAAACACTTTTACATACTTTTATTAAATTTATAGAAAAGACCTGGATCTGTTTTACATTTTTCCGCTATACCTTTCTCAAAGATCCTTTCTGCCTCTCTTCTCACTGTTGTGTAATTGTTTCTTGCTTGTTTGTAATGCTGGTATGTTTGTGGGTTAGGCCTCTTCTGATATTGAACCCATTTTCTTGTCTTTTCCTCTCTGGCCTTCTCACAATTTATGTTGAACCAATCCTGTTTTCTGGTTCTGCATCTCTGTTTTGGTATGAATTTTTAAATGCTTTGATTGTATATTTCGTGAAATTTGGCATACATATCATTTAGTTCCATGCCTAGCAAAAAATCTGTCAAATTAAACTCATTAAAGAATTTTCGAAGTTCCCCATAGTGTCCTCTCTTGAAATCGAGTTTATCAACTGTTTCAATGTCCCCATTCTCTTCTAGATTATATCGCAAAGCATATATAATTTCCATCAGGAAATTATCACTCTTTCCCAAGGGAGGAAGGTACTTGATGTCAAATATCTCCTCTTCCTTCCTGGTAAATATTAGATCCAGTATTGACGGAACACCCCCTTCCCTCATCCTTGTGGCCTACTGGACGTGTTGATACATGAATGTCTCTAGAATGAGGCTTACAAATCTGCCTGTCCAGATGCCCTCCGTTCTTGCTTTGTAGGCCTCCCAGTCTATTGCTTTCAAGTTGAATTCCCCCAGTACCAACAATCGTGATTTATCTCTGTCTGTCCTTTCTACAATCTCATGACCATTACGAGGCTCTCTCGATTGTCATCCAGTTTCTCTTTTTGTCCATGTGTTGCTTGCAGGTGTGTGTTTGTGTGTGTGTGTGTGTGTGTGTGTGTGTGTGTGTGTGTGTGTGTGTGTGTGTGTGTGTGTGTGTGTGTGTGTGTGTGTGTGTGTGTGTGTGTGTGTGTGTGTGTGTGTGCGTGTGTGTGTGTGTGTGTGTGTGTGTGTGACGTGATCTTGTATGTCTTCATAGGTGTACAGTTATGTGTCTCTCAACGTCAATGATCCAGTATTATATCGTGCTTATTCTTAAACTATGTAATAAGGCCACTTATCTCACATACTTCCCTTTGTTTACCATCAACAAGGCAGATGAATGCTTCCCTATATCTATCATATCTATCATTTATGTTTTCAATTTCCACCTGTGTTTCCTCGTTCTATTCTCTCTCAATTGGAAAAGACTGTCATGTAAAGTTTCCTCAGCTCTTCATTTTATGATGATATTTCGTCTGGCTGTTGTGTCTCAGGTTTGTCTTCATAACGTAGTTCCTCTGCTACAAAGACCAGTCTGCATGCAAATATCTAAATCTTCTATTTTTTGAGCTGTACAAAATTCACAGAACGTCCAACACGGTGGGCACTGCTCCTGTAATTTCCTTTCTGTAGGGATCTGAGGTTAGTGGCGATGCTGCGTCCACGTTCAGTGACGTCTATTTCCGGCTACGGCTTCCATTTTTGTGATGTGGGACATCTATGGCCTCCTGTCTCGTATCTGCGTTACCTTACACTAGTGAGGATTGATCTTGCAGATCGGCGTTCGATTCCCGATGGTCTAAGTGGTTGGGCACCATTCCTCCGTCTTATTCCAGCACTTTATTCCCATATATGATTCATGCTTTATCTGCGCGTTAATCTTCCGCATTAGCTCCGACTTATTCCCATATAACCCTTTCAAGAGCTGTATTGTCGTACAGGCTTAGTTAGCCTTTCTCATAATTGTCTTACCTTACATTTGTGGAGATTGAACTCTAATAACCATTTGTCTACCTGCTCCTGCATCTTGTTAAGTTTGTTTTATAGTAACCTATGCTCCTCTTAAGTCGCCCTTCTCAATATACTTTAATAATAAGCTAAGTATTGCATATTGTGCACTTCCTTGGGTAGATACAAGGACCGAGTTCTGAGAAAAATTACATCCTACTTTCCTCTGTATCTGTTACCTGTTTTTTTTGATCAGTCAAAGACCCACTTACTAAGTCCAGCACTCTCACTGTTATAAGAACTCGAGTCTGCATCTTATGTACTAGTCTTTTATGCAGTCTAAGAATAGGTTTTCCACTCGGGTCTCTCTCTCTTCTGTCTCATATTGTTGAAACCTGTCGTTGGACTCTATCTGACATAGATATAACTTGCCATTGACTTGAAAAGTTTATCATCTTCAAACGCTCCTCAGTTGTCTTCCTGATTGCATTTGTACTCACCTAGTTGTGCTTGTGGGGGTTGAACTCTGGCTCTTTGGGCCCGGCTCTCAACTGTCAATCACTCAATTGATTTTTACACACACACACACACACACACACAAACACACACACACACACACATACACCAGGGGTCTGGTAGCTGAGTGGACAGCGTGAGGGACTCGCAATCCTGTGGCCCGGGTTCGATTCCCGGCGCCGGCAAAGAAAAATGGGCAGAGTTTCTTTCACCCTGATGCTCCTGTTACCTAACAGTAAATAGGTACCTTGGAGTTAGGCAGCTGTTACGGGCTGCTTCCTGGTGTGTGTGTGTGTGTGTGTGTGTGTGTGTGTGTGTGTGTGTGTGTGTGTGTGTGTGTGTGTGTGTGTGTGTGTGTGTGTGTGTGTGTGTGTGTGTATAACCCCCCAAGATGTACTAAGCTACGTTTCTCTTATACGTATAAAACTGTGTACTGAGTTATCATAAACCACTTCGTCTAGCCTAGTCAGCCTACTTACAGTTCCTACACTGAACACTTTCTTTCCAGTACCCTGAAAACTTTTTTCGTCCGTTTCAGTGAGGGTTGAGGAGCCTCAGCATGCGGATTTACATACCTCAGGAACGACTGAAAGTCAGCAAGAAGACGAGGACCTCACAACGTCCCAGCAGCCAGAAGAAGAGGACGTTCCAGCACCACAAGACCTACACAGAAACAGTGTTGGCACACCTGCTCGTCTTCTTACAGACAAAAACAACAAATCCAGTAAACACGACCTGCTCACCAAGAGGCGACGCTTAGCAAGCCACCGAAAAGACATCCGCCGCCTCCATGAAAAGAGGAGACGTTTATCCGAGCCCACAGTTGAGGAAACAAAGCAAGACACAAGCGCCAAGGTATCTAGAAGACAAAATTATGACCAGAGCGAATCACCCAAATGGCTGGGAGATATTCATAGAGTGTCGCTGTCGCCTGCGCGACGACACCAACCACAAGACTCCCGGAATAACAACGTCTCTCAACGGAGAAATTCTCACCTTCCTCGGACTAGACAAAATCAAAGTATTTCTAAGCGAAATCGCCGACCTTCTCACGGCTTCCCGACAGGACCATCGTCTGTAACGGCTTACCATCTCCCTCAGCAAACACCGAGCACCAGGATACACTTAATAGACGATGATTTTCAGGACGAAGCACAGTTAGGGAAAATACATGTGAGTGACCAGAGGCCAATACAGACGCACACGGATGACCAGGGTACGACGGAGGCGAACGTGGGTGACCACGGTACGACGGAGGCGCATGTGGGTGACCACGGTACGACGGAGGCGCATGTGGATGACCACGGTACGACGGAGGCGCATGTAGATGACCAGGATTCGACGGAGGCGCATGTGGATGACCAGGATTCGACGGAGGCGCATGTGGGTGACCACGGTACGACGGAGGCGCATGTGGGTGACCACGGTACGACGGAGGCGCATGTGGATGACCACGGTACGACGGAGGCGCATGTGGATGACCACGGTACGACGGAGGCGCATGTGGATGACCAGGGTACGACGGAGGCGCATGTGGATGACCAGGGTATGACGGAGGCGCATGTAGATGACCAGGGTACGACGGAGGCGCATGTGGATGACCAGGATACAATAGAGTCGCGTGTAGATACAACAGAGACACATACAGATGAAGAGGGAAGAAGCGAGACCCATATAAATGACGAAAGAACCGCGGAGGGAGCCCCAGGGTTCGTGCAGCCACCTCGCCGCTCGCACGAGAGCTACGCTGACTGGGGCGTCGGTCCTGTCAGGCCACAGTGAGTCTTACATCCCTCTTCTTGCTTTCATTGTGTAGATATTTTCCTGGAAGCCTTATGTAAATACTTCCATGGAAATATTATGTAAATAATTCCCAGGAAAAATTGTGTAAATACTTCTCTGGAAACATTGTGTAAATACTTCCCTGGAAACAAGCTTGTACATAAGTTCGTTTTTCACAACAAACCTGCACAGAAAGCAGGATTTACACCAAACATTGCAGCTTTCTTGTAAATTGGTTCATAGAAGAAAGAAATATCGGAGATACTTTTATACGGTATTCCTTTTTAATGGCATGTCAAGGGCATAGAGTGGAATTTCTTAGGGCGTGGGCTTGAGACATTCTGGGAAGTGAGGTAAACATGGGGAGCAAATGGCGCCGTGAATGTTGATCCTGCACAAATTGTAAGTTGTTATTATATCGCGTCTTGTGCAGTGATGTGGGAAGTATAAGGGCCAATATGCTCGTTATGATAGTGGCTCTGCACAAGCTTAGGAGTACTGGGTGGGGAGGACGAGGGAGAGGGAGAGAGAGAGGGGAAGGGAGAGGAGGGGTGACAGAGAGAGAAAGAAGAGGGGAAGGGGGAGAGAGAGGGGAAGGGAGAGGAGAGGTGACAGAGAAAGAAGAGGGGAAGGGGAGAGATGGATTGGTGTTGTTTGGTAGGTAAGTAGGAAATTTTGTGAAGAATTTGTATGTATGTATGTATGTATGTATGTATGTATGTATGTATGTATGTATGTATGTATGTATGTATGTATGTATGTATGTATGTATGTATGTATGTACGTATGTATATATGCATGCATGCATGAATGTGGCAGTAGAAGCATGCCAGCAACCACAATCCCAACCCCAACCACTACCACAACCACTACCACTACCACCCCAGGCTCTACTCTCTGGGGCGACCTCCACGCCCCGGCTGGAAGTTCAGGCGCGGGTTCTACCGGCGAGATCACATTTACGAGGACATCTGGCCTCCCTCCTCCCCCCCGAGACCCCTGCGAGACCGGGGTCCCTCGAGGACATATGCTCAGAGGCCGCCCCACTCGAGACACCAGGTGGGTGTGACTTCCACCCTGGACGTTGTGAGGCTGAGACAAGGCCATTAGGGGCTCTCTCTGCCTTCCATAACCCAAACCAGTTGACATTCAACTACTGTTTTTTTCACATTTCAATGTAAATTGTTAGTATTTATGAAATTTATATATATATTATATATATATATATATTATTAAATATGACCGAAAAAGTAAGATTAATAATTCTAACACGAATTTTCTCAATCTTTCGTACATTTCTTTTCACTGTTGGAGGTAATTCAAAAATCAATTCTCCAAATTGAGAATTGATTTTTGAATTACCTCCAACAGTGAAAAGAAATGTACGAAAGATTGAGAAAATTCGTGTTAGAATTATTAATCTTACTTTTTCGGTCATATTTAATAATATATGCATATATACATATATATGCATATATATAGTATTCTACAGGAAAGACTGCTACCAAAATATACTAATATATATATATATATATATATATATATATATATATATATATATATATATATATATATGTATATATATGTGTATATATATGTGTATATATATATATATATATATATATATATATATATATATATATATATATATATATATATATATATACATATATATACATATATATATATATATATATATATATATATATGTATATATATATATATATATATATATATATATATATATATATATATATATATATATATATATACATATATATATATATATATATATATATATATATATATATATATATATATATATATATATATATATATATATATATATATATATATATATATATATGCAACAATGATCCAAGTATGCAGAATAACCACATGTAAAAAATATAGAATGCTTAACGCGTTTTCGGCTAATTCGCCTTCATCAGAGCAAAGTAGAATGAAGATCTTCATTTTACTTTGCTCTGATGAAGGCGAATTAGCCGAAAACGCGTTAAGCATTCTATATTTTTCACAGGTGGTTATTCTGCATATATATATATATATATATATATATATATATATATATATATATATATATATATATATATATATATATATATATATATATATATATATTGTTTATTTGTGTTTTATATTTTTTTTGATGTATTACAGAGGAGAAGAGCGGTACACAAGGAGGCCGACTGAGAGGAGGAGAGTCAGAATTTAGGAAGCTTCATGTGGAATTTATCTTTCTTGCCTTTTCATTATTTACTAGTTTATCTGTGTTCTTACTGAACTCATTTTCTAAATGTGTGTTGATTCCTACTTCATGTTCCGTCTATCTACTTCTTTCTCGATCACTGCCATTTTGTTTAAAATTATTTGATTTTTGTCACTGATCTTTTTTTTTGGGATTTTCTGAGTCAATTGAGGTTAACGTCTATTATGATTTCTTTAAATTTCTTCAGCTTCTCGTTCTGTACGTTTCCTCAGACATCTTCTCCCATGTGTTAAGCCTCATCGCTATCGTTGTCTCCTCCTCCTTCTCCTCTCCGAGGGGCTGGAGCCAGCTCCCTTGCTGAAGACGTCTGTCAGATTTTTCAGCCTGGTGAAACTTTCCAAATGAGACCATACAGCGAGACCTCTCGCTCATACTAGCCCTGATAGCGAGACCACGTTCGCATCCGTGACTAGACAGCGTTGAGGCCTCTCCATGCGATCACCAGGGACCAAAGAGAGAGGATTATCCCTCACCCTAGACTAAACAGCAAGACCTTACCCCCACTGAGACCAAAGAACGAGACCTCGCCCTCACAGGAGACCAGACAGCGAGGGGCCTCTCTATCCTCCCCCAACCCCCAACTCTCAGGATCTGGCCCAGACTGCATCCATCAAGCGGCAGCAACATTAACCAAACGTCTCTGAAAAACCGAAGCTTTCACGAAGGTTAACTTTCTCTGTCAAACAGCAGCGTATACTTCACCATAAGGCACGACCGCTGGCCCGCGTCCCGCCTCGCAAGAAGTCCTCAGAGAAAGTATCGACCGTGATTTGACTTCGTGTGTCTCCTCTCGAAATAATTTTTTGTTCCTCACTGAATACCAGTAAATGTAATATGGCTCCTGTAAAATTGCCAGAAACATAGATGACACAAAGGTAATGGATAACGGAGACGTAACTTACGAGGTCTCATAGGATCTGACCCTTCACCTTGCGTGAGTTCTAAATCCAGAGTTTTCACTGAGAGAGATCCAAGCCCTTTTATAAAAGTCATTTATAATGAATCACTCTTGGGTCGTTAAAGGTCTAATGATGCCATATTGAATCATTTTATACCACTGCTTCCAATACCCCCCCCTCCTTGATGAGGTCAAATTAGCGTGTCACTGCCACTAGAGTGTAGAACATGTCATACTGAGACCACACGTGTGGCGCACCGGCTACAAGTGCGGACACAGGCTACAGGTGTAGACAGGAGCTACAGGTATAGACAGGGGCTACAAGTGTAGACAGGAGCTACAGGTGAAGACACAGGTTACAGGTATAGACACAGGTTACAGGTGTAGACACAGGCTACAAGTGCGGAAACAGGCTACAGGTGTAGACAGAGGCTACAGGAGTAGACACGGGGTACAGGAGTAGACACGGGCAACAGGTGTAGACACGGGCAACAGGTGTAGACAGAGGCTACAGGAGTAGACACGGGATACAGGTGTAGACACGGGCAACAGGTGTAGACAGAGACTACAGGAGTAGACACGGGATACAGGTGTAGACACGGGCAACAGGTGTAGACAGAGGCTACAGGAGTAGACACGGGCAACAGGTGTAGACAGAGGCTACAGGAGTAGACACGGGCAACAGGAGTAGACACGGGCAACAGGTGTAGACACGGGCAACAGGTGTAGACAGAGGCTACAGGAGTAGACACGGGCAACAGGTGTAGACAGAGGCTACAGGAGTAGACACGAGATACAGGAGTAGACACGGGCTACAGGTGTAGACAGAGGCTACAGAAGTAGACGGGCTACAGATGTAGACAAGGGGTACATGTGCAGACATGGGCTAGAGACGGGAACAGGGGATACAGGTGTAGACACTGATTACAGGTGTAAACAGGGGCTACAGGTGTAGACACGGGCTGCAGGTGTAGACAGGGGCTACAGGTGTAGACACGGGCTACAGGAGTAGACACGGGCTACAGGTGTAGACAGGGGCTACAGGTGTAGACTCAGTGACATCATCAATTCCTGTTCTGGTATTTCACAGAACAAACTGTATATTTCATATTTTCATGTAAATAAAAATGTTTACTATTTCTAATATATCTGTGAATATTAATCGCATATACGTGATATATAAATTATGTGTATACTAATAATATATATACTGTAAGTGTATATTAATCATATATGTAAATAGGTATAGTTTTGTCTTAAATCCCAACATTATGCATATGTATAATTACTTACATAAAACAGCTGTTAATAAGAACATCAGCCCATTACATATGTATATCCACAAGGAATAATTAAATGTTACTGATTATTCGTGATAATTATGATACAATATAACACATTATGATTATTTTATTTTTCAAACACTGTATTGCACAAGTTAATAGAGTGAATATATTATTAATACAGCAAGATTTATATTCTTTAACAGAAATACAGAATAATCTCTCCTCCCTAGCAAAACAGCAGGATAATCTCATCTCAGCAACACAGCAGGAAAATTCCTGTTCCCCAGCAACACAACAGGATAATCCCTCCCCAGCAACACAACAGGATAATCCCTCCCCAGCAACACAGCAAGAAAATCCCTCTTCCCCAGTAACACAACAGGATAATCCCTCCCCAGCAACACAACAGGATAATCCCTCCCCAGCAACACAACAGGATAATCCCTCCCCAGCAACACAACAGGATAATCCCTTCCCAGCAACACAACAGGATAATCTGTCTTCTCGAGCAACACAACAGGATAATCTGTCTTCTCGAGCAACACAACAGGATAATCTGTCTTCTCGAGCAACACAGCAGGATAATCTCTTCTCCACAACATTTCAGCAGGATAAGGCCTCCCCAGAAAACATCAGGAAATTCCCTTCTCCCCAGCAAAACTCCCTCCTTCCAAGCAACACATCTAGAACCATAGCTCCGTCACGTCTTGCATTAAAACATATGTATTGACAAACAAATAATGCATATAATATTATGTGTTTTCTTAGCACAGGATAATCAGTGCAAATATATAACACGGGCAACACAATGTAACTCAACTTGTGTTCTTGGTAGAGTTATATCCTAGTTGCTGATGTCGAAAAAGTATATAAAATGGCTATTATTCTCCCTCTAACTTTGCTCTTGTGACCAAGACATTGATATTTTATACTAAAGTGTTACAAAAATAACTCCGATAGATCTAGAAGAGAGTAGTGGTTCATGATCCGCGATTGTATTATAAATAGACTCCAGGACTCAGGCCGCAAACAGTAGCCTGTCAACATGCTGTGGCTGGTGGCGGCGTTCACAGTCCAGTATATCCTGGTGGAACTTGGGAAGGGCTCGCCTTGCTCCTAAGAGTGCAATTTTGTGTTCTTGAGTTCCTCAAGATGAACACCAAGGATATGAACTTTGAGAGACAACTTACAGCCTACTGTGCCGTAGTTATTCACCAAAGTCTCAATCAGCTCCACATAATTTTCGGTCTTGTGCCCCCCTCGCTTTCCAGCCCGTTGTCGTCGTGAGAGGGCTTGGTGGGCGGCGGCCGGAGTGTGATGCTTCATGGAACAGTCCTCTGTCCCTCTGAAGCCTTATGCTCCTATCTTCACAAATTGTGCTGAATGCCTTTTTCATCTTCCTTATGTTTCATTTTCCCTTCCTCACCTGCTCTCTTTTCTGATTTTTATTTCCCACCGACTTTTTGCCATTCTTGGTTATTCTTTCAGATGTCTAATTCTGTTGTGACGCCTGGGTGTTTGGGGAGGCACACTCCCTCTCCTATAAAACTGTGGTACCCGACGTTGTCGAGCGAGGGAACGCTTTCGTTGTCAATCTTTGCTTTCGTTGCTGAGCCCGATCTCTACAGACTGGCGGTTCTTAAGGTTGCGAATGCGGGGCGTATACTCACGATGCACCCCAGGGGGAGGGGGGGGGGCATCTTGTCGGGTGTTCTATCCTCTAATTGTGGCTCCATGGTGGGCATGGGGGCTTATTTGTGAATGAAATTATTACCTGTTCATTTATAAGAAAATATCTGACCCTTTTTTAACTTCTCAAACTTGTGAAGTGGACGACCAGACCCCTGAGTCGGACTGTGATGGAAGGCCAGGCTCTGTAGCCCCCCTTACATTGGTCCCAGACCAAGCTGTCTCTGATTCTCCCGATTACCTCTCTCTGCTCCCCTTTCACTTTTGTGGCAGGGTTGAGCCCCAAGCCCCCAGTGGTGACCACCTCATCACCTGACATGGCTCCGTCTCTCATTGTTACAATAGCGCCTTTTACCCCCACTCTTACTAAGGGGTGCTCGGCGCCGTCCCCTCCGCATGTGTCGTTGGAGCACTAGGTGAGGGTACTGGCAGCTACCTACCTTGAGGCTACCTTGAGGTGCTTCCGGGGCTTAGTGTCCCCGCGGCCCGGTCGTCGACCAGGCCTCCTGGTTGATGGACTGATCAACCAGGCTGTTAGACGCGGCTGCTCGCAGCCTGACGTATGAGTCACAGCCTGGTTGATCAGGTATCCTTTGGAGGTGCTTATCCAGTTCTCTCTTGAACACTGTGAGGGGTTTGCCAGTTATGCCCCTTATGTGTAGTGGAAGCGTGTTGAACAGTCTCGGGCCTCTGATGTTGATAGAGTTCTCTCTCAGAGTACCTGTTGCACCTCTGCTTTTCAACGGGGGTATTCTGCACATCCTGCCATGTCTTCTGGTCTCATGTGGTGTTATTTCTGTGTGCAGGTTTGGGACCAGCCCCTCAATTATTTTCCACGTGTAAATTATTATGTATCTCTCCCGCCTGCGCTCAAGGGAGTACAGATTTAGGCTCTGTAGTCGGTCCCAGTAATTTAGATGTTTTACTGAGTGGATTCTAGCAGTAAAGGATCTCTGCACGCTCTCTAGGTCAGCAATTTCTCCAGCTTTCAAAGGGGCTGTCATTGTGCAGCAGTACTCCACTCTAGAGAGCACAAGCGTTTTGAAAAGTATCATCATCGGTATAGCATCTCTAGTGTGAAAAGTTCTTGTTATCCAACCTGTCATTTTTCTTGCAGTTGTGACGGCTACTTTATTGTGTTCTTTAAAGGTAAGGTCTTCCGACATGACTACACCCAGATCCTTTACATTGCCTTTTCGTTCTATGTCATGATTTGCCTGAGTTTTGTACGTGGTTTCTGTTTTTATATTTTCAATTTTTCCGTAGCGCATGAGCTGGAACTTATCCTCGTTAAACACCATATTATTTTCTGTAGCCCATAGAAAGACCTGATTTACATCTGATTGGAGGTTTGCCGTGTCCTCTATGTTGCCAACTCTCATGAAAATCCTAGTGTCATCTGCAAAGGATGATACAGTGCTATAGGTTGTGTTCTGGTCTATGTCCGATATGAGGATGAGAAAAAGTACTGGAGCAAGCACAGTACCCTGGGGGACTGAGCTCTTCACGGTTGATGGACTGGATTTTATTTTATTGACTATTACACATTGGGTTCTGTTAGTCAGGAAATTGTAGATCCATCTGCCTATTTTCCCGGTAATTCCTTTTGAACGCATTTTATGTGCAATAACACCATGGTCACATTTATCAAAAGCTTTTGCGAAATCTGTGTAAATTACATCAGCGTTTTGTTTGTCTTCCATAGCATCTAATGCCATATCATAGTGGTCCAGCAACTGCGACAGGCAAGAGCGCCCTGTTCTGAAACCATGTTGTCCGGGGTTATGGAGATGCTGTGATTCCATGTATTTTGTGATCTTACTTCTTAGCACTCTCTCAAAAAAAATTTGAGATTTGAGGCAGGGTGGTAGGTGAGGCACCAGGCAGTGATTGCTTTCTCCTGACAACAACGTCTCTATTTGCTTCAAAATAATTTTTGTGCACGTTCTCATAGCCCAATCACAAGCGAGATATTTTAACCAAAATATTTTTTTCTCGTTCGATCCACAGTCAGCAAATATTGGCATACAACCAACAATGGTTTACAAGACTTTTTAAGCTCACCAGTTGAGTTCCCTTTACAAAATTTTCATTTTTCTTATCGTATTTCAGTGTAATATCAAACAGGCAAAAAGGTTATTTGTTTGATTTAGTTTGTTTATAATAACCAAACACTACTTTCGATCAATATGTCTGCACCTTCAACATCACGACTATGACGTAATACGGCAGATATTGGTCCATAACTCCCTGCTTGACACTAAAGCTCTGACCCGTCAACCCTGCTTGACACTACAGCCCTGACCCGTCAACCCTGCTTGACACTACAGCCCTGACCCGTCAACCCTGCTTGACACTACAGCCCTGACCCGTCAACCCTGCTTGACACTACAGCCCTGACCCGTCAACCCTGCTTGACACTACAGCCCTGACCCGTCAACCCTGCTTGACACTAAAGCTCTGACCCGTCAACCCTGCTTGACACTACAGCCCTGACCCGTCAACCCTGCTTGACACTAAAGCTCTGACCCGTCAACCCTGCTTGACACTAAAGCTCTGACCCGTCAACCCTGCTTGACACTACAGCCCTGACCCGTCAACCCTGCTTGACACTAAAGCTCTGACCCGTCAACCCTGCTTGACACTACAGCCCTGACCCGTCAACCCTGCTTGACACTAAAGCTCTGACCCGTCAACCCTGCTTGACACTACAGCCCTGACCCGTCAACCCTGCTTGACACTACAGCCCTGACCCGTCAACCCTGCTTGACACTACAGCCCTGACCCGTCAACCCTGCTTGACACTAAAGCTCTGACCCGTCAACCCTGCTTGACACTAAAGCTCTGACCCGTCAACCCTGCTTGACACTACAGCCCTGACCCGTCAACCCTGCTTGACACTAAAGCTCTGACCCGTCAACCCTGCTTGACACTACAGCCCTGACCCGTCAACCCTGCTTGACACTAAAGCTCTGACCCGTCAACCCTGCTTGACACTACAGCCCTGACCCGTCAACCCTGCTTGACACTAAAGCTCTGACCCGTCAACCCTGCTTGACACTACAGCCCTGACCCGTCAACCCTGCTTGACACTAAAGCTCTGACCCGTCAACCCTGCTTGACACTAAAGCTCTGACCCGTCAACCCTGCTTGACACTACAGCCCTGACCCGTCAACCCTGCTTGACACTAAAGCTCTGACCCGTCAACCCTGCTTGACACTACAGCCCTGACCCGTCAACCCTGCTTGACACTAAAGCTCTGACCCGTCAACCCTGCTTGACACTACAGCCCTGACCCGTCAACCCTGCTTGACACTAAAGCTCTGACCCGTCAACCCTGCTTGACACTACAGCCCTGACCCGTCAACCCTGCTTGACACTACAGCCCTGACCCGTCAACCCTGCTTGACACTACAGCCCTGA